CCCACGGCTCTGTGTGATTAAAGTGCGTATTCGCTTTGTATTACCAGTAAGGCGGAAGACAGGACAGGACTGAACAGGACCTAATAGCAGGACAACGGAACAGAACGGCCCGAAGGTCCTTTCATTTGGCGCTACTATGTGGACACATTTCGCAGCGCACTTTCCCGTTCCCATTTTTCGGCCAAGTTGAGCTGAGTTGAGTTGCCGATGTGGCAGAAACTGGCAGTTAACATCATTTGTTATTGATTTTCGCACTGGGTAATATCAGCTGTGGAGCTGTCCTCAAGGTGGGGTCGATTGTCGATTGTCCAGGGGTTATTTGCTTTTTTTGGGTCACTCCCATTGTACTCGCCGGAAGATGATTGATGAGAGAGTCGAGCCAAGTGAATATATACTATATACTCTATTTTCTAAACAGTAACCAGTAACCAGTAACCTTCAACTTGGGCCGCGTGGGATGGGTTTGTGGTCTGTTGACCCAATTTCTACGCGCTGGTCTATGCGATGGGGGTTCGCCTCTGACTCATTTGAATATAATTCGCAATTTTAATTGGTTTCTGCTCCGGCGGCTGCAGGCACTCCGCCGCTGCTAAACCATTAATTATAATGCACATACATCACTTAACGAGACCTGACAATCCGCCACTCGTCCAATCAGAGTTAATGACTATTAATGACACTGTTCCAATTACTTGCTTGCCACTGCCACTGCCACGCCCACGCCCTCGCGCCGCTGACGCCTCTTCTGCCGATGGGGCATAATTGCAGAGTTTTCCCTTTGATTGTGATTTATTGAATAATTGCTATTTATTTTCGCCGCTCGCAACTTTTTCACATAGTTTTCACTGCTGTTCACCGATCAACGCGATGTGTTGTGTGTGCGGAGTCCGAAATCGAAAACACATTAAATTTATTTCCACCTTATCGGCATGAATGAAGCCGCAAAATGGCATTTAATTTGTGAATTTTCAACAATAGATATCTGCGCCGTTGATTACGCCACTCGCATTCACCTGTGCGCATACCCATGAACACTCTATATCTACCTCAAATTTTACAGAATTCGTGATTCCTGCACTTCTTCGTATATACTTTTTGAAGTTTTATTGCTATTTGTTTTTATCATAATTAAACAAAGCCAAAATTGCGTCAGCGACAGCGGCAATGATAAGATACTTTGGATATTTGTGGGTAACTTTATGGGTCTTCAGTGTCAGCATATAACTATGCAAATTGTAGAGGAAATCTAAAACATGGGTACAGTGATTGAAGACTTAAATTTCAAGTTATAATTGAATTATAAGTTTTTTGATACCAAGTATTTCCTTTATAAATAAGGTATGTAAAAACCTTTTTGTGATAAAACTTAAATCCAAAACTGTCTGAAATAATTTCTAGTAATCTTGTAAAATGTTTTAAAACTGAATTAAATGTTCTTTAATTTTTGCGTTTATTGTTTTTCTTTTCTTTACTTTTCAATCCGATATAGTTTTATATATTGCCGCAGACCCAACATAAAAACGGCCCCTTATCATCGGCTAAGTAAATTCCCCAAAGTTTTTATATCTTGTCATCTTAGCAGGTCGTTAGATCGGAGTAATTTGTGGGCTTTCCTTTCAAAATCTTTAATACGCGTGGGCTCCCTTCTGACGATTTGTCTTTATAAATCGAAAGTGGGCGTCCGCAACGCCCCCCTTTTAAGAGCTTAAAACCAAAGCCCGGGATTTGCTCGGCCTGATTTGGGGGCTTTTAGTAGGGGACAGTGCCCCGCCGAACGTCTTGCCAGCCAAACGGCTGACTTGTGAGCTTTGCCAAAACTGACGCGCTAAACTAATTTCGGTGTCGACGGCACATGTAAACCGAATTAAAGTGACAGCCTCTTGGCAGCCGCACATCCTTCTTTCCTTACTTTTCCCAACCAGCGGCGCTTGGCTTGATTAACCCTTATGTTAGTAACCGGGTACCCGGGTACCCCCCGCGGTATATCTGTGTGAAAAGCTTAAAGCAAGTTCAATATTTCATGTTAAGCTCTTAAATCGTCGTTTTTTAACTTAAAAGGAAGCTAGTTGCGAGTTCATTTAATTTATATATATTTTTTTATTATATTTTTTTATGCTTAAACTTCAGCCATCGCCTCATTAGTAACCGGGTACCCGGGTACCCACAGTGGAAAGCATAGGAAATAAAGTGAATAAAATTTTTATAAATGCATGCAATATAATTAATTACATTGAACACACTGGACACGATTTACTGAATGTTCGTCACATACAGGTTGGCGACAATTGGCACAAGACTTGCGTGTCTTTCGCCGTCTTCTTATTGGCAAAGCATTGCAGACATAGCAAGATCCTATAACCATTTTTCTTCCGGTTTTATCTTCTGGAATCTCTGGACCAGGATTTACCACGACTGTTTCTGTCAATGCATGGCCTAAAATACTTTGAATGGCAATCTTTGTTGAAAAGTGACGCATTATTTGTGGATTCGCGGTACGATTTTCAATCATCGGCAATGCTAGTTCCTCACTTAGCTTACGCATAAATTGACGACGTTCTGTCGTTTTTTTTATCATTTTATTATTTTTTTAGAATAAATTATATATGTCGCAAGTGAAGAAATGTCTAACATATTGAAAAACATTGCCATTGGCCATCTCGAGGATCGTCGTTGACTGGTGTATCTCCGCACCATTTGGTCCATTGTGTCGACTCCAGTTTTATATTTATTATAGAAATTTATTATTTCTGGTTTCTTTTTAGCGTCATCACTATTTTTTTTTCCTTATATTGTCACTTACTATTAATATTTTAAGAAAAAAATATTTTGGAAAAATTTTTTTAATAAAATAAACAAAATTTTTGATATTCAGAATTATGGGTACCCGGGTACCCGGTTGCTAAAAGACGTCGGTAAAGTTGGTTACTAACATAAGGGTTAATTTTTGGCCCGACAAGTGGGAGACGCAAATCATCATCTGAGTGGGGTTTCGCGGTGCTGGGTGCAGGGTGCGGGTAATTGCGTATTTTGCGAGTGAACACACAGAAAGACATTCGAAGCAATCACACAAATGCACTCGGAAAAACCAGCAAATCGATGGGGCTTCCATGGTCTTAAAGATTTAAGGTGTTACCACAAAAATGCAGTGGCGTTATCAATATAAATATATATAAAATCAATCTTTATATACTAACAGAATGTAAAAGATTAATTTATAAAACTGTGTTACATTTCATTCAAGCCATGATCCAGTGCTTTTAATATCACACAATAATTGTAAAAAATTTGTATGACCATAAGACAGGACAACATTTAAAATTTAGAAAAAATAAAGAAAATTTTAGGAAGCCTTAAAATGCCTTTCAAAAATTACTTGGCTAAAAAGTGCGAGCAGCCTTTATCTTTAGTGCTGCTTTTTCCGAGTGCATCGACATTGAAACAGACAACGTGGATATATGGAGCAGGATGATGGGAGGACAAACCGCAGGCGGATGATTCGTCGTTTATTGCAGTGGTCGCCGTAGTCGTTCTCGTGGATGTGACTGTGGCGACGGGCGTAGCTGAGGACGTGAGTGGAGCTGGTGTCCGAGGAGGGTGCCGAGTTGCATCTGGACAGACAAAAAGTACAAATGACAAACATAATGCAGCAGCAGCCACGCTCTCATACAAGGAGCACGTCTCCTCCGGACAACGGAAAGTCCCCCGCTGGCTTCAATTTTCAATTTAATTTATGGCCCCAACCCGATACACCCACAACCAAATGAAGAAAAAACTAGAACAATGGTTTCGGATTAGCCGGAGCTTTGCGTGTCAAGGCTAAACCCTTGACGAGTTCTGGGAATCCCAATTCGACAACTTAATGCCGCTGGCAAGTCGTTCCGAGCAACTTCAGCTAATTACTCACAGCCACCAAACGGAGTGGAGCCAACCGGATTGTTCGGAGATGAAAGGAGTGCGGTCAACGAACGGCGGACAAAGAAGATGCAAAACCCAATCAGCCAAGAACGATGTGAGCAAAAATAAATTCCCAAAGATGGGAACATAAAGATACCCTGGAAACAGCACTCACTTAAGTAAAGTAATCTCTTATATTGGTCACGTTAGCTACTCCCAATTTTAAATATTTACATTTTATACAGAAATTATCCCTCCTAAACCAGAAAAAATTCGTTATATTAGTTTCTCCTAAAAAAATATAAATTTTAAGGGCTTAACCATGCCGGCGAAAAATTATACTTTACTTTCATCAACTAAAACCCGAATAGATTAGCAAATGCAATAAAAACTGTGGGAAAAACTAGCAAGAGCGAACTATTTGCGCAGTAAAAGAAAAATATGGCGAACCGTTTCATAAATTCCTGAAATAGTCCAGAATATATCCCGCTCTAAATGGGACACCATCTCGGTTCTCATCATAATGAAACGAGTCATTTTCATAAATTTCCATTACCTACACCCAAAAAGCAACGATGGAAATGGCCTGCACTTTCATCAGGCGAAAGTGTTCAATAAAAACTCAGCTAGGGTATGGCAAATCATTGTGGGACCTGCCTCGCTTAATCAGTCTGCTGGGAGCTGTTATGGCTGGCTGGGATTGCTGTCCGCCGCTTGGTTACTCACTCATCGCGAATCCCGTTGGCAGCTTCAATTTCGTCGCCTCTATTCCCCACATTTCGACCCGGCCGACAGCGGCGGATTGGAGCTCGTTGCCAGTGCAGCAATGCATATAAATGACGTAGCAATTGGAAGCCATTTGTTATGCGAAGCTTTGCTTTGTTCCACAATTAGAATTGCCAACTGGGGACAGTCAGCAAACGAAGAAGTTTCGTGGCTTTAAGAGCAGCAGTTTGGATCTTACTCAAGCAGAAATTACTTTTTTAAGGCAAAGCATTTGTTATTTAAAACACTTTATCGCTTTATTTGGGATAAATTAAAGAATAAACAAAAAACAATGCTGAAATCTGTACATCTTTAGAGGGGGTTATAGAAACGAAAATCGGTTCAAAAACTATCATTGGTTTTAATAGGAATTATTTAATACGCAAAGACAATGGTGTTCTTTTTAGCATTGTAAATCTACCTTAACTCTAGCCAACTAGGAACTAAGTGAGGGAAATGTTGTAAGTTTTGGCCACGTGAGATTTGGTGTGTGGTTACGCGATATTGTGCCATCAGATGGAGGCCGCCTGTCTGCGATTGCAGCGCCACACGGTGGCGTCATCGCTCACGTAGACCAGGACACTGGCGTCCCGGGAGAAGGCGATCTGCCGCACGGTGGCCACGCTGCGCGGATTGTGCAGGGTGGTCATGTGGGCGCCATCCGGATCGCTCGGATCCAGCTCCCACACATAGACCTTGCCCTGCTGGTTGCCCAGGGCAATCACCTTTTGCCATGGATTAAACCCGAACCGCACGAACCAGATCTCGCACTCGTCGTACTCGAATTCCGCGATGATCGTGCAGGAGGAGTCGCTCGGCTTCACCTGCTCGAAGCTCTGGTGAAGTTGTCCCGGCTTCCAGCACACGATAGCGTTCTCGCAGGATTTCGAGAGCACAAAGTTGCCGAACCACTGAACGCAGTCCACGTAGTTCCTGTGTATGTCCCTCGTGGAAAAGTCGGGAAAATGTTTTGTGACCGTGGGAAACGGAAGCGTTGATTTCTCCTGGCTAAAAGTATTCGACAGTTCGATCTTCTGGTGAAATTCGGGTGTGTTCAGACACCACAGCTTCAGGGAATGGTCCATGCCGCTGGACACAATTCGATCCCCACGCATGTTGAAGTCTATAGAGAGCACTTCATCTCGATGTCCTTCCACTCCCCCCAAAATGGCAATGCAAACGTGGCTCTGGATGTTCCACAACCTTATCGCATGGTCCTTGCTGCCCGACAGCAGAAGCTGCAGCTTATGGGGATGAAACTTGAGCTCGTTGATGGCCTGCCCGTGGCCAATGTAGTTGCCCACCGCCTCGTTCTGCTCGACGTCAATGACTCTGATGACCCCGCGGTATCCTGCCGCGGCTAAAAGTGGCGAGGAGGTCTTCAGGTCGTACGACCAGGCACAGGTGTAGAATACCTCATCGGGCTGGGAAGCAAATTTTAAAGTTTTCAATATTTTCCACTCTTATATATATATTATTTCTTGACATTTTCTTCTCAGTTAATTTAGCCGCCTGTTACTCTGTTGAATACTCTACTTTCTATGTTATAAAAGATGGATCAATCGATTTAGAAATGCTTGACCTTACAACATACTATCTGAAACTCAAAATATGGATTGGAATTAATATTCCATATTATTGAGGTTTTCCCCTAGTTTTCGAGATAGCACCAGAATTATTTAGCTATAACCAACTGAGCAGTAATGTCACGAAACAGCTCTCTATCCAGGGACTCACATCCGGGTCCGCGTAGCAGTGGAGCAGCTGCATCCCTCCTTGACGAGGGCACTCGTAGACCGTCACCCGATTGCTGCCCGCTGTGGCGAAGACCTGCGGCTCATCTTTTCCGAGCAGTGTGTTGAAGGCCACGCCGAAGATGTTGGCTCCGTGGTTCTCCTTCACGTGGGTGCTTCGGTGAGTTTGGGAAGAACGAATCATCTCAGAATCAGCTGCCAGCTCAATTTTCAATCAATTTCTTACTCGTATTTGTAGGCCGCATGTATGTGTGGCTTCGATTTGATGCGTGGGCGTCCGCGGCGTTTGCTCCTTGTACTGGAGGACGGAGATTTGCTGCGTGAGGTGGTGCTGTTTGTTGTATAGCTGGCCGACTCATCCTGCCAACGGACAGAGGCCCAAAAGATCCATTAGTTCTCATTTCGCACAGCCATTTGTCATTCGCTACTCACGCCACATGATTCCTCCGACTCTTCGCCTTCGTTGCCGTTTTTCACTTTATCACTGCTCATTTCGCAAGCGCCGCACGTTTGCACGTTTAACTGAACCCGAAACTACGCCCACGATTGTAATAAACAATTGTTTTGTGCCGAAAAAAGGTTTAAATTGCGCTAACAATATAAAGTGCAACTTTTGGCGGCAATTATTCGCGGAAATAGTGTGGCCCCAGCAACAGATCGCGAAAAACACCAGAGAACATAAGCATATACGGTCTTACCATTGCTTAGAGTGGCCACCTGGTCACGATCAGCTGGTCGGTGTAGGTGAACCTTCTTTAATCGATAAACGATACGTTAGACACTTAGGCGGCACATTCAAACTTTGAAATGACAAAACACATGCGCAAGCTAGTTTTTTTTTAAGAAAACAAACAAACGTAGGACAAGTAACATGCCATGGTTTCATGTGAGGAATAAAAACTGTTACAAGTATGTACAAAATTACACTGGTCAAGAAATTTACCTTTTCTTTCAGGTTTAATTTTGGTAATTTTTTCAAGCCTAACAGGCTTTTCCAAAAACAAATCATATTTATGGATAGGCTATGCGTTTAGATTTATTGTTCGAATTGCTTATTAAGAAAAGGATGTTTTGAATACTTTTGTTTAATGTATTACAATATTTGACTTTATTCTTTATTTAGTTGCATGTACATATGTATCAAATAATTTATTTTGTGTTTTTTTTGAATCAGTTTTGATATAATATTAAGTTGATTTTCAGTTTTGAACATAAAATATGCAAAATTGCTTGCATTGTGTTCAAATTTATTTAGAAATTCCTCATAACAAAAACTTTTAAAAGATCCTGAGAGAAAAGGTTGTGAAAAACTTACTAAGTTCATGAACACGATTAAAAAGTCCGTGTGCATTTAAACGTAGCAAGTATTATATTGCACTTTGCAAACTTTTTGTACAGAAGACGCGGCAAGGAACATTTACAAGTACGCAGAGCGCGGGTGGGAAACGAAACAAGTGTCTTATTTTTTTGTTTTTGATTAGTCTAGGATAAAATAGTTATTTACAACAGAAGCGAGCAAGAGATTTGGGGAAGGGGGCGGAGGCTAGACAGAAGATTACAGCAGTGGAAATCGCAGACAGAGGTCGGCAGACAGATAGATAGATTGGATAGAGGACAGATAGAGAGAGAGACAGGGTTTATAGAGATTAGAGTTTATAGAGTAGTTCATTCCGGAGCAGTGTTGGTTAACGCAAACGTCAAATGAAAAGGCAAATCGAACGAACTGAGGAGGCGGAACGGAACGTATAAACGGATAAACGGTTAGCATAGAAATCAAATTTCAAGTACGTTTTGTTCGTCGACATGGACCGTGCCCAGGTAGGAGTCCTTAGGCGCCGTTGCCGGTGCACGGTGGCTGGGTTACTGCAACTGCCACCGCTGCCGCCGCTGACCGCACTCTCCGCCGCCTTGGCACTTGGCTCTGTGTTGGCCGGGGCAGCTCCCTTGTCGCCGGGGTCCTTGGCAGGACCCTCCTCCATCACCGACTCCCTCACGGTTTCCAGGGCGGGCTGCAGCTTCTGTGGGGCGGGCACTGTGGCAGGTGGGTTGGTGGAGCTGCTGTCCGTCGAGGCCGGCGGCCCAGTGGGTCCGCCGTGGGTCTGTGGGGCCAGCGAGACGCCCTTGGTGCGACCCTCTATGCTGTCCTGGTTGTCGCCCCCGACGCTCCACCTGCCCCAGCTGACGCCGCCACCGCCGTCGTCTCCTGCAGGCTGCAGCTGCTGTTCGAGTTGTTGTTGTCCTGCTGCTGGTCATCGCGTCCGTGGCTGTGGCTGTGGCGACTGCAGTTCAGGTTCTTGCAGTTGCCGTTGCAGCCCTCCCTGCCCGGGATTATTATACCATTTCCGATTTCCGAGCACCAAGGCCAGCGGTGGAGTGTTCAGGCGTCCAGCAGTTGGCAGTGAGTAGCAGCCAACCCGTGCAAGTGGCAATTGTTAGGTTACGAGACACCACGTTGATGTTGCATTGCATTCGGTTTGATTTTGTGTTTGTGTGAGAGTTTTATTTAGTTTCATGTTTTTTTTTTTTAGGTAAATAGTTTTGTCAATAGAAAGAAAGAATATAAAAATAGAACATCAGTTGAGAGATTGTGGTAAAGCTTGAGGGTTTAGTAGAGGGAGGTTTGAACTTTTTCCACGCAGAAGGCCTTATCATCAATAAAACTGCTCAAAAGTATACATTTGTTCTTGAATTCGCCCTAAATGAATATAGTTGAATTTAAATAGAAAGAATTGTATTTAAATTCCCATAAAATTAAGATACTTTATAGTATAATTAAATGCCAAATTTGTTCTTTAAGGGCGAATTTTGAAAATGCATCAACTCCAAAACAACATACAAGCAAAGTTAACTGCGGAACTTTGCGAGTTGTTGGCAAAAACAAAATAAAATAAATGCGCTAAAAGGCAAAATCCTTTCAATCCGACCTCACTTGGCTATGTAAATCGAAGAATCGTGTCATGATGGTGTTCGGTGGGTAGGAATATGTTAAAAATTCATGTGGCCCAGCACCTGAATACAATGGAAACCGCGTACTCCATACATATGCAGATGACATTCGGGACATTCGGCGGGGGATTTAATTGAAAGTGTGGTAAATAATAAAAATGCACTGATGCATTGGGCTTGTTATTGTGGACATTCCCCTGCTGCTTCTGAAAGGCAAACCAAAAATCGGTTTCGGTTCACTATCGAAACATTCTCAAAACCAAAATAATTACTTAAGTGCTATTATGGATTATCCTGAAACAACCATTTTCGAAAATCAAAAATTATTATGGTAAATAAAATTCATATTTCAACTAAAAAAATACCCTACCGTTTTTAATTACCTCCCTTCAGGTTTGATAGCAAAGTTATAGCAGAAGGTAGGAAAACGGTTTAGATTCAGAAGAAGGTTCAAAAGAGTTCCATCTGGCAAACGAACTGAGCAGAGTAATGCAGATACACCGAGAGAAATGGCGAGCACAAAAGTAAGACACCGAGATTTGAAGGCAGACAGGAGGGGTGACTGGAGTTAGAGGCAAAATACGGTGCTGCGATTCGTTAGGGGACGGTGTCTGGGGTCTTAACCTTAATTAGTAACTCTCAGGAGCCGAAGAATACAGTACACAGTTATACGTTACGTAAGGCTAGGCTATGGCTAAGAAATACTCGATCTCTGCAAAAGTTAGATGATGATGTGTTCTATGAAAAAGGTATGACAGAATAGATATAGATATAGATTTAGATACGCTGATGATGGTGGTGATGGGCTAGAGTTTGTTTTTACTAGCAGAGCAAGGCAAAGTATAGATTTCGGTCTTCGAAATACATGAACTGAAGAGAGCACTACAAAGAATGAGGATAGAAATAGTTGGTAACAGAGTTAGAAATAAGTTGGAAGAAGAAAGAGGTGATCAACAGTGGTTATTGTGGGATTCGGTTTGATGTGGGCGCGAATTCGGGTATGGTTTGGTTATAGAAGAGATGTTAGAGTTAAAAATCAACAGAGTTAACGACAAAACCAAAGCGACAAGTTTGACTCGATGGGAACACTTACTCTTCGCTCTCAACGGATGAGGACGCAATCTGCCCCAACTTTGTTTTACCTGTTGTGGGGCTTCTGCTCAATAACACAGACACACACACAGTAACAGTAACAGAACGGATATAAAAAGAAAAATATTCAGATATATGTATACATTGAGTAGGTTTAAGGGCCTCAAATGGGGATTCTTCTTGGGAGTAGCGAGCTTAGATGATTTGATGGCTGGCGAAGGGACTTGGTTATCGGTTGAATGGAAGCTTGCCTTGGATGCAAATCCGAAATTTTAAAACTACGCAGCATTAGTCGGATGAGTCCTACTGAAAACGGGTTTCAAAGCCTAGGCCAATTCGAGGGGAGCCCCAAGGAAGGCCAAGCTGAAGCAGAGTTATCCAGAGTTCGACTCGACTCGTTATCCTCTTGGTTAGGTTAGCCCGCCAAGAAGCTTGCAAAATTTTCGATTTCGATATTCGATTTTCGGGGATGTCGTGGGGGGTTAAGCTACCACTTTCACCTACCTTGATTCGTCAATGAAGACGGCCTCGAGCACTCGAGCCGCATAATGCAGATTGCGCTGCATGTCCTCGTAGGCAACGGTCTCATGGTCCATGCGGCGGAGAAGACTGCGTATTCTGGGGGGATTTGAACAAATTATTAGCATTTTGTTTATGCAGTATTTTTGTACATTATTTGGCAACGTTTTAGAAGATGACATTGTTGTGTTTTTTTCGGAAACCTAAAACCAAATTTGGCCTTTCCATACTTTAACCTCATTTTAAAATAATAAATGACATTTAAAATTACTTTTAGTTTTTGGCACGGTTATATAGTTTTTAAAAAATTTCTGGTATGTATTTATAAAAATATAGTTTTAGACTTAAAATTAGCTATAGCTCAAATTGTAATTAAACGGTTACAATTTTCACGCACTGGCTCTCGTATAAAAGAGTTTTTAGGAAGGAAAACATTCCATAAATAAAGTCATGCGTTGTGTTCCCTGGATCGCCTTCTGTTTAATCGTTTACTTGAACCTGAGTGGTGCAAGAGATTGTCTGTGCAGCTGTTATTATCGTGTCTGCGGTACTGATAATATAACATATATCTCCCCATGCGGACCATCCTGCAACGGCGTCGGTACTCTCCATGTTGGAAAATGTAATAATACTATTGCGTCAAATGTGACAAAATTGTAACCAAAACGTCTGTTTTATTTCATTGTATTGACTTTCACTGACAGCCTATCAATCAATATAATGAAATAATTACTTAAAATATAAAAATTAATAATTTAAAAAAATGAAAAAGAGGCTTTTATTAATCAAACTGAACTCAAAACTTAGAAAATAATTATTTAAACTAGAGAATTTATATTACAGTAGCAGCTGAAGGCCGAACAATCAATCATTATTAATTAGTTCAAAAGGAAATTATAATGAAATCCAAGTATTATTTAGAATAATTCGATTCAGAGTGATAAGCCTTGGGGTGCTTGGCATATTAAAGGTTTCAATCTTTCTATTGACGAGAGTTATGAAAATGTAGTAGAACGCACCCCACGCTTTTCGGTATTGAAAAGTGTGAAATCGTGTGAATCGTTTCGTAATCTGTTCATTTTATTTAAAGCTCTTATATATAGTTCTTCAATATGAAAACCGTCTAAGGCTCCTACGCGACTAAGTGCCACATATGTCCAGAGGCAAACAATCGTGAGTCTTGTTAAATGATTTCATGATCGACTGAACAACCTTGCATTTTATGGACAGTCGAGGCCCAACTTCGTCTCTCTATTTAATTCTTTACAGGGAATCTTTGAAAGAATTTATGAGTTCTTATCACAAATGTTGAGCAAAATGTATTAAGGCTAAAGAACATCGAAGTTGTCGATTTTTTAATTTATTTTCTTAAGTTATCCGATTGTTCCAATGACAGCGATCCAACAGCGGACAATAACTACCTACTTTTGTTAAAGTTTTATTACTGAAACTGAAAGACTTTTTTTACGTCTAAGATCGAGTCAGTTGGTGATGCTAATCAAGAGTATTTATACTTAATGGGTTCTGAGGTTGCTCGTCCATTTCCTCGCAAACTTCTAACTGGTATTATAATATCTATTGCAAGAGTTAAAAAAGGCGCTGTCTTCCACAAAAAACTAAGGAGGAAAACGAGCCATGAAATCATAATTGTAAGCCATGATTTAAGCCATAAATTACTTGCTAGAAAAAAAAATGGTTCACGTAATTTAATTTTATGAAATTATACGGTGATGCGTTAAAATAAAAAAAAAACCTTTGCTACTAAGCAATGAATTTTGTAAAAAACTTTAGATATTCGCAAATATCCTGCGATATATGAAAAATATGCCAAATTGTTCATCACTCTAAAGAGTATCTGAGAGTCCGCCCACTCGAATAAGAATCTCATTCCCTTTCGATTGGTTTAAGCATTGGTTTAAATTATGATTAAAACAAAGCTGTCGGAATCGTTTTCCTCTTCTTTTTATGTACATTTCTTGAAATGCTTCAAGTATGTGATCTTGGCAAAACTGTTATTCTTGAGCTCGACGTTATGGTAAGCTAAATCTACCTCCAGATTGCCAAGAGGACCAAACAGAGGACACTAGATAGATATGGATATGGGACTGTTTAGGAACTCACCTCCCGGCCGCTTTGTTAAGGGCATCTGGCGTGTCGACTGGCGGCAAACTCTCGGTGTCCCACTGCCCGGCGGCGAACGAGGTATTCGAGGGCGATTCGAAGGAGTGTCCCGACTCCTGCGGAATGTCGCTGTCCCCCCGCAGGAACGAGTTGGTCCCGGCGACGTTTATCGAGTGGCCGACGGTGTATTCCGCCGATTCGCGACCGGGTACCATTTCGGTCTGCGACAGATTGGCCGACGAGACGTGAATGTTGTCGGCTAGATAGTTGGTGGCGTTCGGCGACGACGGTTGCATTTTTCCGGCTGCAACTGCAACTGCAACGGCGGCGGCGTTGGCGTTGGAGGTGGCGTTGGCGGATGGTCCGGATGGTCCGGAGCTCAAGCCCTGATTGCTCGATCGTCTGTCGCCGGCGGAGGCGGCGGATCCGTTGCTGCCGGAGCGGAAACTCAGGCGCTCCGCAAGGGGATCGCTCAGCGGAGTCTGGGCAAAGCCGCTTCCCGGAACTGTGGAGCTGCAGGCGGTGGTCGAGGGCGATGCCAGCTGGCTGTCGATTTGGGTGAAGTTGCGGCTGTTCGTGCGTCGGATAATCGTCAGTGAGCCGTGTCCTGCAAGCAAAACCCGCCGAGAATCGGGTGGGTGGAAACTGATTTAGTCGCCGTCTGCTTATTTAGTTATATCACCCTCACACTTGACACATTGATTGAGGCCCTACTGGGATCTAACGAAGCACACAAAGGCCCATAAGGAAAGGGTTCAAAGGAGGAGCTACAGTGGGCACAAGAGCAAATTTATTCTCTTTTAAATAAAAAAAAATTTTGGTACGATTAAAACTATTCCGCAGTACTTCAGTTGGTATGTAACGTTAATTTAAAGAATTAATATTTCAGTTAAGATATATTTGCTGCCAGTTTTTATGTTTGATTTAAGCTGTTTATCACCAGGTTCAATGCTTACTCTGCACAGAAAAACTAAGGGTAAAAAGCCTTTTTAAAAAGAAAACAATTTATTTTTAATAATTACTATGAATAAGTACTATAGTATCCAGGTATTATTTAGCCAAAAGGTTAAAATATTTCAATCCATAAAGAATCATTTTTTTATTGCGAAGGAAGACTACATTTGCTGATTTATATTATACATAAATGTGTATTAATTTTAAATATTTAACTTTTGCTCCACCGTTCGCTTTCTTCTTTGGTCAGAAATCGACAAGAAATCAATAGTGTAGTCCCATCATTTAGGGCCATTGTAGCATAGAATTCTTTATTTAGTTTAACCCCAAGTGAGGGGAAAGTGCTTAACGAGCAGCGAACAAAGGCCCTTCAAGAAGTTCCTCCTGCGAGACGAGTCCTGCCAGCCCCTCCCCGTCCCCTGGAACCCCACTTCGAGTTGGCTGAGTGGCATCATCCCAAGTTGGCTCTGAGTCGCCTTGTCGGGCGTGTCGAAAAAGTGCAAAGGATTTATCTCTGTGTGTTTGTCAAGTGCCAAGGAGGGCGCACGGAGCTATCTATCTGTGAGTTCCCCAACCTTCTCGACAGCGGGAATCTTAACTGCATTCCATTTATTTTGACAGTGCAAGCACCTCGAGAGCGAGGTGATGGGCCAGTCATAAAATCCGCTTTATGCAGCACTTAAATTTATGTTACACCCGAGATTCCTTGGCTTAACTGCTAGATGCGCGGGCTCTTTATCGACTCCAGTTTTGGTGGAAATGTTTTATGCTCCTTTTACCGGCGACTCTCCACGTCCTTAATGACTTTTCGCGCTTCAATTTACCCCACAATGTTGGGGAAACTGGAGAAAGTGCTGAGCTGGCCCCACCTGGCATCAGGCATCAGCTTACGGCCAGAACGCAATTCCGCTGGTTTTGACCCATGTGAGCGGGGTGGTGGAAATTGCCGGCAATTAAATGGCCTGATGGCCGCATAAAGTGCGTTTCGCAACTGGTAACATGATCGATGGTCCCCCATCAATCTCTTTTGAAAAGGTAAGTAGTTGGGTTGCTCCACAAAGTAGTTCTTTATCTCAGAAAGATATTGAGTAGAATATTATTTAAGTGCTTCATCGAAAAATTCGTCAGATAATCAGGAAACTTGCTAAACTTGTTTATCTACAATAAAAAGCTTCGCTAATTTAAATTATTTATCTCAACAAATTTCAAATGATTTAATAATTGAATGGCAAAATTACAATTTTAATTTCTATAGAATTTCACAATTAAAATAGTTTTACATGCCATTCAACTGATTAGTTTATTCAAATTTGCTAATGTAAATAGCTTTTTTAAGCTTAATTGCCATATGTGGACAGATGCCCTTCAGCACACATACATTTCAAATTTGACCAACTGCGCTGCACTGCAATTTCAATTAGCCAATTCAGTTCTTAACCACAACTACCCGCGACTCCCATTCCCATCCCATCTAAATTACCGCAATTTCCGAGCGATGTCAACCCGACTTAGCCACCGCAATCTCCGCAGCTGGTGCAGGATGGATTATGCAAGCGGTGTCCTGTCCTCTGCTCGAAATGGAAATTATAATGCAGCCTTAACCCAATCCCTTCCCCCCCTTGGGTTCCCTCATCCGGATCAGATGATGAAGTGTGCAAAAATAAGACACAACGCCTGTGGATGCTCGTTACTTACTTGCCACTTGACCGTTTATTGTCGCATTTGTGCCACTGCCACTGAACTCGGCGACCGTGGGACTGACGGCTTCCTGTGCCGGCGTGCTGACACCACCTGCTCCTCCTGTCCCGGATGCTGTTCCAGTTGCAGGTCCCGCCGACCCGCTCGCTGCACCACTCGATGCCGCACCACCACCACTGCTGCTCGAAGCCGCGCCACTTGTGCCGCCGGCGGTGCCCGCTGCTCCTGCTCCTCCGCTCGCCTCGTCCCGCTTGCTCGGCAAACTCTCCGGCGTGCTGGCAACTGAAACGAGACAACGGGAAACGTTCTTAGTCTAGGGGATTTGTCCTTCACAACTCGCAGATATAATCTCTGCACTTAAATTAATAACATGTTTCGCATAACAATATAAAATACATGTTTGGTTTTTAAGTTTCCAGTGTAAATTTGAACATTTTGCGTTCTATCAGAGCTATAAAAATTATTCAAATTTATGTCCAAAAATTTCTAAAAATAAAAAAGGATATTAAGGGCGGGCTCTTGACTGAAAATTAGATGCAAAATGTTCTTAGACCTTTTGTCTAGAACTATTTTCATCTGTACCTCACCAGCATGACGTGCTTTGCATAGGTAAGTTAAGAAAATTATCAAGCGTTTTCGAGTCACTACCACAAAATATTGTAACAAATAAACAAATATTAAAATGATGATTTGTAACACTTTATGTTATATATTTTTACCTCAAAATAAAATTCCAAAATTTTTTAAAACAGTTTGTTTATTTTACCCTTAAACAATAATAAGTAATTGGGGATGCTTTTTAGACAATGAGAATCACTTTTATTACGTCTGGAACTAAATGTGTCTTTCTGAATAAGGTTTTTTATTTGTGCTTCCATGTCTGCCCGGCTGCTCCAACAGGTTTTTGCTCGGCAATCAGTATTCAAACTATCCCTGCTTGTGTACACATCTATGCGAGCCCTAAATCCTTTTGTTGTCTTTCACTCGCTCGAAATCCCTCCTTTCTAATGCTGTTGGGCTTAGCTAAAGTGTATTTGTGTTGTGTATTTTGTTTGCTTCTGGTCCAGAAGGGTCGGACAACGTTTTTTTTTTGCGGATTTTGGTGATTGGAAAGACGTATCTACTTCTTTAAGATACATTTGCAAAAAAAACTTAAATTGGAGCTGTACGATAAATGATTCCTGAACAATACTAGTAAATTAATAAACACAAAAATGAAGCAGAAAAATTGTTCACATTTCATCAGGTGACAAAAAAAAAATATTTATATAACTTTAAAAACGTTAAAAAAAAAAAAAAAACGGAACTTCAATCATTTTTCTCTGCGCTTAAGGATTTCTTATGCTTCATCTTGTATTATCATCTCCTTTGATTTGGCCAGACTAAGCATCCCGTGGCACTACAAGATTAGATTGAAATTGCTTTTGCGCCATGAAAGGATTTTATTAGGCCAAGCTAATACCGTTTTTTGTGCCGGTTGCCAAGGCCAACAGCTGTGTGCTACAAGCAAACTAGGTTGCTATTAAATGTTTGGCTTATTCCGATTTAGTTCGTTTATTTTAAGTGAAGCGTATTTATATTTAGTACACCATGTGCTCAAAAACATTGAAAATCATTCAAAATTTATTTCTGCTTCTAATAATTACACAAATATGTTGGTAATAAACCATTGTTTAAATCTTTGGTTTTTTTGTAATATTCAAATTTTAAATTATTTTTTTTTTTTGCCATGAAGAGTATTAATTCTACTAAGTAGGTGTTCAAAATCACGATTTTACGCGTTAAATGAGTCGATTTTTCCGTAAATGAGGCTTTGGAAAAATATCTGATTTGGGAGTCTATTTAAGCGACCAATCAGACACCACAGACATGCGCTATCTAGTTTTGATCGCGATTTGCCTGCTCATTTGTTTGGTCCAGCCAGGAGACTTTGCTTGCCCTTGTCATAAAAAATATGATCCTGTCTGCGGATCGGATGGAGTAACCTACACCAACCGGTGCATTCTTGTCTGCAGATCACGGGTGACGCCTGTTTCATTGCTCAGGTTCGGGCCTTGCTAAAAACTGTAACGTGGAATTAGGCTGTCTAATATCTATTTTTAAGAGTAAAATTTAAAAAAATTAACACCTGTAATTGGTTTCTTGTTTGATTTTTCTTACGATCTAATTTTTTTACAGACTTTGTTAACCAGTCTAGCAACAGCTGACCCCAGATCATTATCAAATATTAGGTTTTACTTTTTTTTCATAAGAAAAAACAAATTAGGTTTTTTGCCTAGAAAGCAACTTTGTTATACTAAAGGTAAGAGTTAAAAATTACGATTTATCGGTTTAAACAATTATTTTTCCGACTAAATAACGCCTTGGAAGCGATCTGGTTTGGGATTCTCTACATAAATAACTTCCGATCGTGTGATCGTCTTTTATAACAAGTCTTATACCACAGCTGTTATCGCGATTTGCCTGCTCTCTCTATAGGTACGGCCTGTAGAGTTTACTTGCCCATATCATTTGATAAATAGACCTGTCTGCGGATCTGATGGTGTACCCTACGCTAACCGGTGCTTATTGCAGAGATCAGGCAAGGACCGTGGCAAAAAGTATAACACGGAAAAAAGCTACTTAAATTCAGTTAACCATAAGAGCAAAAAACCATGTGTGAAATGGTAACTGGCTTCTTGTTAAAATGAGGTTAAAAATCACGATGTATCGGTTTAAATGATTCGTATTTCCGACTTATCTATGCTTTGGTTTGAGCTTCTATATAAATATCTGCCGATCGTGTGGGACAGTCCAGCCCTTCTTAACCAGTCGAACACCACAGCCATGCGTTGTCTAGCTCTGATCGCGATTTGCCTGCTCTCTCTATGGGTTCAGCCCGGAGAGCTTTGCGCATGTACTCGCGAGTATAATCCTGTGTGCGGATCGGATGGTAAAATGTACTCTAACCCCTGCATGTATAAATGCGGGGCAGGAGGTTATATTGATAAAAACGGACCGTGTCGATAACTGCACCGTGGAAATCAAGATGCTTACTACATACATATCTGTTTATAAAGAGTTTAACAGAAAATAATAATAAAAAAAGATCTGATCACTATTTGTCAGTTGCGCATGTCCTTGCATTTATCGTCCTATTTGCGGATTGGGTAGCGCAACCTACGGAAAAATGTTCGGAAAGGAAAAAAGTATTGTTGTTGGCTGCTTTTAATTATTTTACCATGAGTTGGTAAAGATGAAATTTCGTTTTATTTGCCTAGAAAGGTAAATACTTTATTACAATCGGGGGACGTTGAAAATCACGATTTCAAGGTTTTTTTTCCCCACTAAATGATGCTTTAGTCTTGGATACTATACGTATATCTGCCGATCGTGTGGGACAGTTTCAGTCCTTCTAAAGCAGTCGAACACAACATCCCTGCGTTGTCTAGCTCTGATAGCGATTTGTTGCTCTCACTATTGATATATGCCGCCTGTCCCTCCCAGTCATACGTTGTCTATCTCTGATCGTGATTTGCCTGCTCCCTCTATTGGTTCAGCCCAGAGAGCCTCTTTGCTCATGTATTTTAAATGTAATGTAATGGTGTAACATACGGAAACAAATGCCGTTTAAAATGCAAAGCAAAGGTGAAAGATACTAAAATGGTTAAGGCAAGAGAGTGCTAAAAACTATAACATGGTATGAAATAAGTTGGTCACAGGTTGGAAAGTAAAATATAGCATCTTGCCAAATGTGAACGAATTCTTATTATTTTGGTAACTGGAATTTTGTTTAATAATCATAACGATTAATTACTTTATGTTTTTAAATCAATATAATGCAAATTGTATAAATATTTACTGTGGGCAAAAACTACTAAATAAAAAAAAGATAAAACAACATTTATAAATGTCTATTTTGAATGTTTTTTCCATAAGCTCAAAAGTTCAAACGATTTTCTAGTTGGCTTGGATGCTAATAAGAAGTATTACCGTTGGCTTACAAGATTATTGCTTTTTATTAATATAATATACCAATAAGTTTGAAACAAATCATTGCTAAAATATTAGGTTTTTATCTTTTTGATTAGCTTATAACTAAAATATAGGTCAAATAAAGTTTTTTTTTTGGCTAGAGAGGTTCTTTAGGCGTTAAAAATCACGATTTATCGCTTTAAATGATTTTTTTTCGACTAATTGAGGCTGAGGAATGGAGTTGCTTGGAAGTCTATATAGTTCCAGCCCTTCTTAACCAGTCCAACACTACAGCCATGCGTTGTCTAGCTCTGATTGTGTTTTGCCTGCTCCCAATATTGGTTCAGCCCCAACAGCCTCTTTGCACATGTATTTTAAAATATATCCCAGTCTGCGGATCGGATGGTTTAACCTACGGAAACATATGCCGTTTAGAATGCAGAGCGAAGGTGAAAGCTATTACAATGGTTAAGGAAGGAGAGTGCGAAAAACTATAACATGGAATGAAATAAGTTGGTCACGAATTCTTAATATTTTGGTAACTGGAATTTTGTTTAACAAACTTAACGATTATTTACTTCATGTTTTAAAATCGAAAAAATGCAAATTGTTTAAATATTCCCTGTGGGCAAAAACTAATAAATAAAAAGATAGAATAACATTTATAAATGTCTATTTTAAATGTTTTTGCCATAAGCACAAAAGTTTCCTAGTTGGCTTGGATACTAATAACGAAGGCTTTTGACTGCTTTACCAACAAATAATGTATGAATAATATACCAATTTAGGATGTTGGTTTAAGATTGAATTCAGTCAACAATAATTGGGTTATAAGTAATATATATGTAGGTCTCATTAATTTTTTAGCCAAGAGAGATAGTTTAGGCGTTAGATATTATGATTTATCGCTTTAAACGTTTTTGTTACGACTAATTGAGGCTGAGGAATTGAGATGCTTGGGATTCTATATAAATTTCTGCCGATCGTGTGGGGCTGTTCCACTCATTCTTAACCAGTCTAACACTACAGCCATGCGTTGTTTAGCTCTGATCGTGATTTTCCTGCTCCCTCTATTGGTTCAGCCCAAAGAGCCTCTTTGCCCATGTTTTTTGTTATATAATCCAGTCTGCGGATCGGATGGTAAAACATATGCAAACGAATGCCGTTTAAAATGCAAAGCAAAGGTGAAACATATTAAAATGGTTCATGAAGGAGAGTGCAGAAAACATTAACATGGAGCTAAGTATGATAAGTTGGTGATAAATTGATAAGTAAAAAATAGCCATGTGCCAAATTCTTATTAGTTTGGTAACCGGATTTTAGTTTCATATATTTAACGATTATTTACGTTGTGTTACCATAGTAAATATCTGTTTATATTTTAAAACCGAAATAATGCAAATTGTATAAATATTTCCTTTGGGCAAAAACTAATAAATCTTTTAAAAAAAGAAAGCCGTGTTATTATTTACACCACTTATTACTCAAGAACGGCAGTACAGATTTGGCTAAAAATTGGTAGGGAGGTGGCTTAGAGCCAGGAGACGGCCATAAGATACTTTTTATCCCGTTCGACGGAAAATCTTCTGTACGTGTGTTTGTCATTGAACCGATTTTGATGAAATTTTTTTTGTGGGTTCCAGGGGGTTTGAGGATGGTTTGGATTCACAATATGTTAAATAATATATTTATTATTTTTGAGGTTTTTAATGTTTTAATAATTTCATTTTTTCCGCTTATACATTGCAAACTCAGTAGGTAATCATACATAAGTCTAGAACTGAGTAGATTTTGTACAGAGTTTATAAAGTAATAATTTAATTGTTACAGCTAATTTCCAAAAGTTAACATTTGAGACGTGGCACAGGACAACGTTTGTCGGGTAATATTAGTTTAAAGATAAAATACCATTTTTAAATGTCTATTTTAAATGTTTTTTGCCATAAGTCCAAGATTTCAAACGGTTTTATAGTTGGTTTGGATGCTAATGACAAAGGTTTTTGAATGTTTTCGTGATTTGCCTGGTCTCTTTATTGGTTTAGAGAGCTTATTACCCATGTCCTTTGTTAGAAAAACCTTTATGCGGATCGGATGGTTTAAGCTGACCTAACCAATGCGAATTTGACTGCAGGGCAAAGGGAAAGCTTTTACAGTGCTTAATCGAGGACTTTGCCTAAAACTATTTAATGGAATATTATAAGTTGGTCATAAGTGGGAAAGTAAAAGATAGCCACGTGCCAAATGTGAAACGAATTTTATTTTGTTATGGTAACGGGCTTCTTGTTTAATTCATTTACGATTCTTCGCGGTGTATTACCATACTAGTTTTCTGTTTATGTATCTGAATACCAGTAATGCAAATGTTAATCATATTTCAAGTGGTCCAAAATAAAAAATAAAGAAATATTAAATAAAATATCACATATAAATTTCTATTTTCAATGTTCAATGGTTTTTCTAGTTGGCATGGATGTTAATGAGACAAAGGGGTTTGCTTAACAAACATGCATGAATAAAAAATCAATTTAGAATTTTGGATTAAGATTGAATATAAATGACTTTCGAACTTCAGTTTTTCATAATTATGTGCAAATTCGACTGTATACCAAAGGGAAGATGTTGGCTGACAAGGTTATTATTTAAAATTATTATATCAATAAGTTGAAAATAAATCATTGTTTAAGTATTGGGTTTTTATTTTATTGTTAAAGATTCTCATTAAAATATAGATCAAAATAGGTTTGTTTGCAGAGGTACTTTTGTATAAAGGTTGGTGGCGCTAAAAATCACGATTTATCGGTACAAATGAGATTTTTTCGACTAAATGAGGCTTTAGCAGGGAGCTTGGATTCTATATGAATGTCTGCCGATCGTGTGGGGCAGTTCCACTCATTCTTAACCAGTCTAACACTACAGCCATGCGTTGTTTAGCTCTGATCGTGATTTTCCTGCTCCCTCTATTGGTTCAGCCCAAAGAGCCTCTTTGCCCATGTTTTTTGATATATAATCCAGTCTGCGGATCGAATGGGGTAACCTACAGTAACCAATGCGAATTTGACTGCAGCGCAAAAGGAAAAGCTATTAGAGTGGCTAAGCAAGGACCGTGCTAAAAACTTTATTATGACATGGACTGAAATAAGTTGGTCATAAGATGAAAAGCCAAAAATAGCCACGAGCCAAATGTGAAACGAATCTATTTACTTATGAGAAGTGGATTCTTGTTTAACAAATGTTACGATTGCTTATGTTTCTGCACCAAATAATGCACATTTCAATATTATTTCCTGTGAGCAAAATCTTATAAATAAAGAAGATTAAAAAACGTTTATAAATGTCTATTTTAAATGTTTTTGCTATAAGCCCATAAGTTCAAAAGGTTTTCTAGTTGGAATGGATGCTGATGACAGAGGTTTTTGAATATTTTAAAAACAAATAAATTGAAATGAATTTGAATGGATACCAATGAAACGAAGTATTACCGTTGGCTTACAAGGTTTTTGCTTCTAATTATTATATCAATTAGTTGGAAATTGCTTAAATTATTGCTTAAATATTATTTTTATTATTTTTTTTTATTAAATCAATAAGTTAGAAATAAATCATGGTTTAAATATTGCGTTTGTATTTGTTTATTATAAGGTTCGCGTAAAAATATTGATTAAATTAGGTTTCTCTGTCTGGAAAGGTATTTTATTATACTTAAGCATCACGATTTAACACTTGAAATACTTTTTTTCCGACTTAATAAGGCTTAGCAATGGAGCTTGTTTGTGGTTCTATATAAATAACTGCCGATCGTGTGGGGCAGCTCCAGTCGTTCTTAACCAGTCTAACACCACAGCCATGCGTTGTCTAGCTCTGATCGCGATTTGCCTGCTCTCTCTTTTGGCCCTGACCGGAGCTTTTTGCCCATGTCCTCGCATTTATAATCCTGTCTGCGGATCGGATGGTGTTACCTACAGTAACCAGTGCGAATTTGACTGCAACGCAAAGGAGAAAGCGATCACACTGGCTAAGCAAGGACCGTGCTAAAAACTTTAACATGGAACGGAAAAAAAGGAAAGTGAAAAATGTGAAACGAATTATATTTATTTATGATAGCTGGGTTCTTGTTCAATATATTTAAAGGTTATTTAAGTTTTGTTACCAAACTAATTTTCTGTTTATGTTTTCGGGTCCAAGTATACAAGTTGTAATAATATTTGCTGTGAGCAAAAACTAATTAATAAAAAAGATTGAATAACATTTATAAATGTATATTTTATATGTTTTTATTGGCATAAATGCCAATGACAAAGGTTTTTTAACCAATATAGAAAGTTTATTTGAAATAATATTAACGGTTTGAAAGAAAAAATAAAATAATTAAATGGGAAACTAAGCCCCATAGTTATACAGACTTTTCTTTTTGTGTGCAGAGACTTAAAATTTATTTAACCATTTTCTCTAGTATTTTTTGTTGACGTATCTGAATCCAAATGTTAATATTATTCCAAGTGGGCTAAAAACTAAAGAGATCAAATAAAAGAAATTAAAGAAATACAATATATACATACGTATATGTTTATATTTGATGTTTTTGTTATTGACCCATATGTTCAACGCTTTTTTTTTTTTGGTTCGCATGGATTCTATTTTGACAAATGTTGACTTAACTTTAGCCAACTAATAACGCAGCAATGATAATACAAATCTATATGAAGGCTGCCAAGCAAATGTGGGTATGCCAAATGTTTAGATCGGCATGAAATATAAGGACTGAGATATAAAAATTATATTTTTGTTTTATATTTTTAGTTATACTTAGCGGCTGATAAAACAAATAATTAATTAAAATTTTCCTGTAACTTCTTGTTAAAAATGTTCATGAAATATATTGAATGCTAATTGAATCTAGTATGAACATATTCTGATCAAAATCTCTAACAAACATTAGGCATGTTAAGAATGGTTGCAATCAAACATTTTTAAATTCGTGTTTTATAAACTGGAATTCCCAGTAGCTGGTATACAATTTAAGGTAAAGTTAAGAAGTTCAAATTGTTGATAACGAGTCAGTAAACATTAATACCCCACTCAAAGATCGGAGTAATAAAGCCACAAATCAGTGCAGTTCTCGAAAATAGTGAATTGTTTTTCCCAGTGTCGCGTTATATACGATTGGTGTTTGCGATAAGTTGTTCAAACGCTATAGATTGCAATGCCAAATGCTCTGGCTGATAAGCTGATTTATTTATATATATTTCACGTTGATGATTAATACAAGGCACTTGTCTTATTTGCTTTCAATTCTTCTGGAGGCTTCTTTGGCTTGTTGCAGACGGGAATCGGGATGTTGGATGTTTAACAGTTGCCTGTTCTCAAAAGGCCAACGCTGCGTCCCTTGCGCTCCACACTTCGACGGAAGCATTCGTACTCGCAGCGATTGGGAAAAGTCTGCAGGTTGCTGGCACAAACGGGCTCGTAGTTTCTGGGGCAAGGACAGAATGGCCGCTCCTCCTCTGGTTCATCTCCATCGCAGCGAATTGGCGATATGGCGAGGGCCAAAAAGAGGCACAGGGCCAACAAAACACTCAGGAATTTCATTGCGTCGGGGGTAATCCACTTGCTAGACTGATTCGATACTGTTGCTCGACTTCTTTTTCAGTCAATGGAGCTTTGGCTGGCTTCGATTTGGCCCCTTATCTTATCAGTTCTCGCGGGCTTTGGAGTTGTGAGTAAGTTTTCTAGTTCATAATGCGACTTTGTTGGACTGGAAATACTTGCTGAATTAATTGAGTTCAGTCCCTGGAATTTACTTTGCTAACTATTCTATATGCAGTGCAATCATTTGAATAATTTATGAGCTCCGCCACTTTCAATTTAATTACTCACTTAGTTTATCGCGGAACCGAACACGCAATTGTTTATAGTTCAAAGAAAGCTCACGGCAAAGCTACATATTTTTCACTCAATTTGCAGAGAGCTTTTCCCTCTTTCCACTCCGCCTTCTTATCGGCGATCAGGTAGTTGGGGGAAATTCCCCTCCTCACCTCCTCCTCCCTCAAAAATTTACATTCACATTACCCCGCATTTTTATGAGAGCCAGTAATTAATGGAACGCCAGTCTTTTTGTCAGGCAATTTACACGACGCCCGGCTATTCAATTTCAATTGCCATTCAATTTCAATTAGCTCCGGCCCCTGGGGAAATTCGACTGAGTTCTAGCCAGTTGTGGAGTAACTACCGCCATGCGAGGCGTATTTCTGGGCCTTTTGCTCTTGCTTTTTGCCATAGTTACGGCCCGGGCTCTCAACTGCCAGCCGTGCAAATTGCTGGAGGCCCGAAAAACTCATGCCAACGAGACCCAAAAACAACAGAAGTGAGAAATAGTGGGAGTGAGTTGGTCTGGAGGTCGCGAGAGCAGTGCAAATTAATCAGCAGCTTGTTTGGCTAATTAGCAAAACTTACGCACACATGGAGGCAGCGACTTGTACTCGAGCTCAGAACAAACGATGATACCCAAACTCAGTCTCAGTTGAACACTCGCGGTGAAAAGACGACGAGTTTTTCAAACAAATCTTGTTCATTTAACAGATACACAAAGCGAAAATGAAGTGCCTGGTTTTTGTGGTCCTTCTGGGACTTTTGATAGCAATCTTTGCAGGATCCTCGGAGGGCAACCTTTGTACCTGCGATCTGAAGACAAAGTCGATGGAAGTTTGCGGCTCGAACGGAGTCACCTACAAGAATCGCTGCGAGTTCGAGTGCACTCAGCGGGATTACAAGAAACTCGGACGGACTCTGAACATCCGGAGCATGGGATCCTGCAGTGTACCAGATAACTGAAAAACAAGTAACTCTACGCTCCAAAATGAGTTCAATAACATACTCGTGTATTTATAGTTTTCTTATAATAGTGTTGCAGGCTTCTCCGAATTAAATGCGTGCTGTGAGATTATATTTTGAATGAATGTATTACTAAAACATTTTATATACTCATCTCGAACAAAAAACGTTTAATGTTATTGTAATCAGTTTGTATACTCACGTGAGCCTTTATAAAAAAAGATATTCCAAATAAACAAAACTATGGAAATTAAACTCAGTCGCAGTTGAACCACCTGTGGAATACGACTTCCCCTTGGAAAATAATTAGCTGCGGGAAAAAGTATGAAGTGGCTGTTTTTGGTGGCTCTTTTGGGCCTTTTAGTTGCACTTTTTGGTGGATCCGCAGAGGCTACATATTGTCCATGCAACCTCATGAAGGCGGAAGTGTGTGGCACCAATGGGATCACCTACAAAAATCGATGTCTTTTTGAGTGCACACAGCGAATGTACAGGAAACTCGGAAGAACTCTTAACATCCGCAAACAGGGCTCTTGCTAAAATATGTTTTGTTGTTTCTGACTAAGAAAATACTTTTAATGTGACTAAAAGTAACCAAAGTGATTGCCCAATAAAATTATCAGCAACTGTTTTTTCTTGTTTCTTCAAAACACATTTGCAGTTGTCTAAATTGAAGATTGTTGTTTGAGTGTAAACAAGGTTAATTGTGCTAATTGTACTGTTCTGTTCATTCGGCATTCTTGAAGAATGAATTATTATGTAAACGGTTGAGATTTTTAAAGCTTGGTTAACCTTTGAGCATTTGTAGCACTCGATGATTTATATACATTATTTGAAAACATATTATAGTATTATTGCAATGGCTTTTTCATTTACTTTTTAAATCAAATTGACTTAGTTAATTACTGAAAGTGTGTTATGTAAGTCGTACTTAGAAAAAGCTTTCTGTTCTGATTAAAAATCTGTTTCTCGACGAGGCGCATCGAAGTGTATTATGTGCAAATAACGCCATTCAATGCTAATTAAAAGCTGTGCCAACTGCGTCATCCTCACAGTAAATCAATTTCTGGCTTTCGGGCGGAGCTCGTTTCATTGACACTTCGGGAGGGACTGTAACTCGAAGGCGATTTCGGCAGCGTTTAAACAGTCTCCTCACGCACATCAATCAAATTTATGCATAATTAATCGTTGCCAGCAGCGATTCGCTTTCCTCGTGGATTTGCCGATGGTTCGACCGTGATTTATTAACTCTGTGCAGCGACTTGACTAATTGAATCCCGATACGTGCCACACAAACTTCGCAATCGGGTGCAGACAAAGCCCCTTGTTCCGACCCGGCTAATTCAGTAGGCCAAGTAATAACAAGACCAGCAGCAAGTCTAATAAAGCCAATGGCTAACATTTATGGGATCAGAACAACGAGCTACCGTTTGTTTTTATGACAGGAAGCTGACAGCTGCAGCCCAGAATTTGCACGCCTGAGCGTTATTAAAAAGATAATAATGAACGGGTTGAATCACGACACTAAATGAGGTTTATCTTGGGGGAGGGAAGAGGAGTTCGAGCAGACTTATCCGAATCAGAGATTACTTCATCCCATGAGACAAACAAGATGTGTCATGACAAACAACATAGATTTTTGGTTTTGATAAGAAATTTAGTAAGAAGAAAAAAATAAGTGTCATAAAAAGAAAATTATAAGGGGCTAAATCATTATAGTATAATCTAAGCTAAACAATTTCAAAACATAATTTTAGAACGAAGTACAAAAAATAAATTGAATTTTTTATAAACAAGTTAATAGGTTTTGTTTTTATAAACTAAAACTTATGGATATTAATTTTAAAAACAATATTGTTGACTTCATGTTTGCTTATCCGCTTCAATAAAAAAGTCTTTTATAAATTGTGTGTGTATTAAACTATTCAGATTCATTTGACATGGTAGAATTTTCCATTTAAAGTTCAACAGCTAAATAAGTTGAAATATTTTATTATTATTATATCATTTTTAATGACACAATTGTTACCTTGTTTAGCTTCTCTATGTTTGTATAGCTTTTGTAAAGTAAATATTGTTCTGTTTTTCAATAGTTCGTTGTCACTATCTGTATAAATAGACCGCCTTTGTTTTCAATTGCTTACTCTACCTTGAGTGTGTAATAAATAAGTTGGTTTAGGATTATTTCAAACTTTTGTCTTAAGTTGATGACACAATTCCGAAGAGCGAGCACTCGAAACTTGCTGTTCCTTTAAGTAATCATTACTATTTCCTGTAATGGCACTTCGGTAGTAGCCCCATCGAAAATTCCATCGTTACATGAGCTTATTCCAAGTTGGAATTTCCAACTTTGTTCTATCAGTCAGTGACTTGAATGCTTATCTAACAGTCTGAGCAGATAATATGATAATATTCAGTTGAAAGAGGATTTCCCGCCCACAGCAATAACAATAACAGCTGGATGGCAAAGGTCGACTGGGCCAAAACGAAAAACAGGCGAGTAAACAGGGATAGATATTCGGGAATTTACATGAGGAACCTACTTATGACAACGGCAATCTCTACGAATGACAGTAAACTCGAACCGCTGTTGTTGTAATCGATTTGTGATAACAAGTATTTGATAAGCGTAAACGTATTGACAACATTAAATAGCAGCCCCAAAAGGGGAAAGAGGAAACCCGCCCAATTCAAATTTGCTGATGCTTAAGGGTTGTCAAAAAAAGCGACGTAGACACACACACTCACACACACACAGCAACACACGTACAGATATAAAAAATGGATAAGCCGGAAAAAGAGGAAAATGCGAGTGATGGAAAAGCGAAGCATATGTTTAGGCGCGTGTGTTAAATTCGTAAATATCTGGGGCCACCGGATTAGTGGGAGCTGATTTTTAATATGCCGAACTGCTGCCGGAGCAGCCAGAATTCTCTGATATGATTAAATATTTACATAATAAAAAATGTAGGCCGTGCATTTATTTATTCGAGCTGGGAGGGAAGCCAGAAAGCCAAATTGAAAAGTGCTTTGAAAAAAGAATCTCGCCCCGGATTTCGCCCAGAATGTTTTAACACAAAGGCTTCTGTCGGCCCTCCCGAAAATCTCGTCCCTTTTCCGCGCAAAGGCAATTCAATCAGCGTCGCGACATGAAAGGTAAACCCAGTTGTCCTGCGAGGAGCCCACAGGCAGGTGAGACAGCTGAGTGAGAGGTGGCCCAGTTTGGAGGGTTTTTTGGGGGGCGGAGACAGCCGGGGGATTAGCCGGTGCTCCCCGAAAGCATTTCGCTTTAACTTTTCACTTTCCCGGGGGTGCGGCCCCGAAATTACCACGAACCTTCTTCGCTTTGATTTCACCGGCAAGGGAATCTCAGCGCGAGCAGCCACGCCCCCTGTCAAACCCTTTTCATGTCCTCCTGGCATGGAGCTGAATTTATGCCGAGTCCGCTCAAGATTTCTGCACATATTTGTGCGAAAATTTCCAATATACTTCTAGGCTGCCAAGAGCATGGCACACAGATAAACAATGCCAGCCCTTTGATTCCTTTATAATGCTTAATTAGGCTGCCTGATTCAGTCGGGTGAAAATCTTGTGAGGATTGGGTGAAAAGCGGGCTGGAGTTCTATTTTGGCCAATCAAAGGAAGTGCCTGATTGCCTTCTAATTAACGGGTTATTGTTTTTGAAATAAGTTGACTTAAAAAAAACCTAATCAAATACACATTTAATGTTATTAAAGGTCATTTAACAGTAAAGCATTTATTTACCTTTTACCTAGTTTGTTTCAATTATTATTATTGATACATATTTTCCAATTTCTGTGGAAATTCCTTTTGACTTTTTGTACAAATAATAAATAAGTTAAAATGTACCTACAGCTGGGTGTTAATTTACTTCCGTTCTTTCATGCATTGTAGTTTACTCTTCTGTTGATTTAATTAAATGGCCAGCAAATTTTCCTCTGTTTGGTCAATTGGCCAGTGTAAAAGCCTCGTTGAACAAAAAGTTTAACTGCTTAAACACTGTTCAAGTTGACACGACAATTGGTCAAATATTGAAGCGATCAAATCGCCAAGTCAAATAGACAAACCGGAATTGAAAAGCCGGCAACAGTATAAAAAGCCGGCGCAATTGTGATGGTAATAGAAAACAAGTTTGTTGGTTGACCGCGATGGATGTGGTGAAAATAGCTTTCGTATTGTGGTTGGGATTGGTTGGCATTCTGGCCCACAAGTCAAAGGAGCAGGATGCAAAGTACAATTGGTGGCAGCACGAGGTGTTCTACCAGATATATCCGAGGTCGTTTCAGGACAGCAATGGCGATGGAATCGGAGATCTCCAAGGAATAACTTCAAGGTTGCAGTATTTTAAGGACACTGGCATCACAGCTGTGTGGTTGAGTCCTATTTATGAGTCACCCATGGTGGACTTTGGATACGATATATCAAACTACACCAATATTCAGCCGGAATATGGAACCTTGGAGGATTTCGACGCCCTTATAGCCAAGGCTAATGAGCTGGGTGTTAAAGTCATCCTTGACTTTGTTCCCAATCACAGCTCGAATAAGCATCCTTGGTTCATAAAATCTGTGGCCAGAGAGCCAGGATACGAGGATTTCTATGTGTGGGAGAATGGCACTCTCCTGGAGAACGGAACTCGAGTTCCTCCCAACAATTGGTTGTCGGTATTCTCAGGATCCGCTTGGATGTGGAACGATGAGAGGCAGCAGTACTACTTGAGGCAGTTTACTTATGGACAACCCGATCTGAACTACCGAAACCCGGCCGTAGTTAAGGCGATGGATGATGTGATGCTCTTCTGGTTGAATAAGGGCATTGCCGGATTCCGCATCGATGCCATTATCTATATTTATGAGGATGCTCAACTGAGGGATGAACCTCCAAGTGGAACCACCGATGATACGAACAATGAGGCTTATCTAAGTCACATTTACACCAGAAATCAACCTGAAGATTACGGATTACTTCAACACTGGCGGCAACTTTGTGATAACTACTCTGCCACCCACGAAGGACCTCTGAGGATAATGATGACCGAGGGATATGCTTCAATTTCCCAATTAATGGAGTACTACGAGGATGCAAATGGAGTTCTGGGACCCGAGTTTCCCTTTAACTTTGACTTCATCACCGAGCTGAATGAAAACTCCACAGCTGCAGATTTCGTGTTCTACATCTCCAGGTGGCTCATCTATATGCCACATGGTCATGTGGCCAACTGGGTGATGGGAAATCACGACAATCCTCGAGTGGCTTCTCGATTTGGTGAGAAATCGGTGGATGGCATGAATATGTTGCTGATGACTCTGCCAGGAATTGCCATTACCTATAATGTATGTAGTGAGGTAATCTTTTCAGAAAGATTTTTATAGGTTTTTCTTTATATTTCAGGGTGAGGAGTTGGGCATGACCGATTACAGGGACATCACCTGGAGCGATACTGTGGATCAGCCAGCCTGCGAAGCTGGAATCAACAACTACAAGTGGGTTTCTAGGGATCCAGAGCGTACTCCCATGCAATGGAGTAGCGATCTGAATGCAGGGTTCTCAACCTCCAATCAAACCTGGCTGCCTGTCAATCCCAACTACCAGGAGCTCAATCTTCGCAACCAGCAGCTGGCAAGAAAAAGTCATTACAAGATCTATCAGTCCCTTCTGAAGTTGAGACAACTGCCTGTTCTGAAGAATGGATCCTTTGTTCCCGAAGTTGTGAATCGCAGGGTGTTCGCATTCAAGCGGTGAGTGCCAAATTACTTAAATTTCTTAGACAGTTAAAACCCCTGAAATATCTAGAAAACATTTGAGTGCTTGTAGGTTAAAACATTCAACTCTATTTGCATTTGCCTAATTAGGGACAAACTATAAGAACTACAAGTTGTTAATTTCAACAGCAGTAATTATTTATATAGTAATCAGTTATATCCTCTTTGAATTATTATTTTCTTGAATTTTAATTTATTTAAATATTTCTCTTTATATCCCCAGTGAACTGAAGGGCGAGTACAGCCTGCTGACCATCCTTAACGTGAAGAACCGCACAGAAGTGGTGGACATCAGCGACTTTGTGGATCAGCCCAATCGGTTGCACGTCCTTGTGGCAGGAGTGGACTCAGAGCACCGAGTGGGGGAAAGGCTGAAGGTCGAGGCCATCGAGTTGGCCCCCTTTGAGGGCTTGGTCATCCAGCTGAACAAGCGAAAGTAACTCTACTTGGTATTCAACATTAAAGTACGAGAAAACATTCCAGTCGCCGCGGCGAAGCTTTTCTATTTTCGCATTTAAATGTATCTCGAGGGCCATCTAATTCGAGTTTCCATTTCATTTGACAGCAAAACACATTTCCATTTGCATTAGCGCTTCGCAAACATTTTAATTGAATTGAGAGCACTTGGTGTCGACCTTCTACTTTTCACTTTGCCGCACTTTCTCCTCGACTTACTCCTCGACTTGATTCGAAAGTCGTAATTCATAATTGTCGTCGGATTTTGGCCCTTTTTGGGGTTTAGGGTAGCTGATAAATGGTTGCCGAAATTAATTAAATTTCCCCCACCGAGCTGACATAAGTAAAAGCGGTTGTTGATGGCCTAACTTTGTTTGGGATTTGGTTTTGATTTTTATTTCCATTTCAATTTTATTCTTAATCAGTTGTTATGAACCAGATGAGCAAGGTGATTAGCAGGTGCTTTTAAAGCAAAAAAGTAATGTAAAGTAATTTTGCTTGCTACAATTTCCAGACGTTATCTCATATAAAGTTTGTTTTTGCGCAGTTTTTGTAATTATAGCTGTCAAAGGGAAACGTTTTTGCCCACCGAACCATGTTTTTGACGCCTATTTGTTGCGAATAATTGTCAATAAAGTTAGGAAATATTACAATGAGTTCAATTTCTTATCTACAGGGGCTCGCAGCTTATTTCGTGCAGTTACTTTAAATTTAATTGCAGTATTTTATTAGGAAATTTTAACATGTTCATTGAACGAAAGCGATTTTCTCAATCATAAAAACAAAACAATTATTAGATAAAAAAACCCGTTCGTGCAGCAGATTCTACTTAACTTATTATTTGTAATTTAACAGCTAATATTTTAACGTATGTGTATATAGAGTTCATAGTAAAAAGTAATGCGAACAGTTGTACAGTTTTTTAAAGTCGTCTGCGAAACATAATAATATTTTCAAAAAATTGTATAAAAAACGAATACAATTTTAATAATTAATAATTTATAAAAGCTTTCTCAAATATATATATATTTTTTTTATTTTAATTTTTAAATTTATTTCTACCACCTCACCTATTTTTACGTCATGATCTGATTCAATTGCTTGTGGATCCAAAGCTTTTCAATCAGCTGGGGCGATCGGTTCCACAAAAGCTTTCAGTTGATCGCCGGCAGCTGCCAAAAACGCTTCTAAAAGTGGGGACCAAAATTGTGCTCTGATTTCTTTGAGGTGAGCAAAAAGTGACTTTCATCTAGACCGGTCAGGCGACAATTTCTATAAAAAGCCGCAAGTTTTCCGCCCATCAATTGCTATAATGTAAATTGGCTTTTCAAGTTCAGTGTGCCATAAAATTGTGAGAAACAATTTTGTTTACTCATTTAATTCGCGCCGCAATTTGTTTTGATTTGAGCTGATAAAAATCTCCCACAAATTCGCAAACGAATGTCGCCGCTGATAATTAAACAACTACTAATTAGAAAATTATTCTAATTATACGGTGGAATCGCTTTAAAAGTGACTGCCAAATTGCCGAACTGTTTACTTTCAAACTCAACGAGTTGATTACTTGGCCGAAATGCTCGCTCCACTCATCCAAATACTTCTTTTTAGCCAGCTGTATCCCGGCTTCATAATGGCAGGATTAGTGAAGAGCGATTCGGAGGACTTCATTGACTGGTGGCAGCACACGGTTTTCTATCAGATTTACCCAAGGTCCTTCAAGGACAGCAATGGCGATGGAATCGGCGACCTAAAGGGAATCACCTCGAAGTTGCCTTATTTGGCTGACACTGGCATTACGTCTACCTGGTTGAGTCCCATTTTCCAGTCACCAATGGTCGATTTTGGCTACGATATATCGGACTACAAGCAAATCCAGCCGGAATATGGAACCATGCAGGACTTCGAGGAGCTCATCGATAAGGCTTTTGAGTTGGGAATCAGAATTATATTGGATTTCGTTCCCAATCACAGCTCGGATCAGCATGAGTGGTTCAAGAAGTCGGCTGCCAGGGATCCAGAATACGAGGATTTCTACGTTTGGGAGGACGGTATTCTCCTGGAGAACGGAACTAGAGCTCCCCCCCAACAACTGGCCATCCGTGTTCTATGGATCTGCTTGGGAATGGCACGAAGGTCGAAAGCAATATTACCTTCATCAGTTCACCAAGGAGCAACCCGATTTGAACTACCGCAATCCCAAGGTGGTGCAAGCCATGGATGATGTGATACTATTTTGGTTGGAAAAGGGAGTCAGCGGCTTCCGCATTGATGCAGTGAATCACCTGTTCGAAGATGAATCTCTCAAGGATGAACCACTGAGTGGGAAGAGCCAGGACCCAAATTCCTACGACTACACCAAGCACATCTATTCGAGGGATCTGCCAGAGGTCGTGGAGATGATTCAGCACTGGAGGAAGCTCCTGGAGGAGTTCAGTGCCAAGCATCCCGAGAGACCCACTCGCATCATGATGACGGAGGCGTATGCTTCACCCGTCCAGCTGGCGGACTACTACGAGGATGCCAACGGGGTTCGCGGCTCCCATCTGCCCTTCAACTTCCACTTTATCACGGACGTGAAAGGCGACTCGGATGCGCGTGACTTTGTCTACAATGTGGAAAAGTGGCTGATCTACATGCCGCGCGGGCACGCGGCCAACTGGGTCATGGGCAACCACGATAACCCCCGGGTCGCCTCTCGCTTTGGTCCCGCCAGCGTGGACGCCATGAACATGCTCCTCCTCACCCTTCCCGGCGTCGCCGTCACCTACAATGTGAGTTGCTCGGCCTGATTGGGTCGCCTCTGGCTTATCTGGCTTCCTGTTTCCAGGGCGAGGAGCTCGGCATGCAGGACTACCGCGAAATTAGCTGGCAGGACACCGTGGACCCGCCGGCCAGGAATGTGGGCGAGGAGCGCTACAAGGAGGTCTCCCGCGACCCCGTCCGCACTCCTTTCCAGTGGAGCAGCGAGCAAAATGCAGGTGAGCTAGCTTTATTATTAATTAATGCTTAGATAAAAAGTTCCTTCTAACTACCTACTACTTTAATCATTTAAAATGATAGTGAATCAACATTGTCCAACTAATTAAGAATTGCCTAACTAAAAAGAAAAAACAAACACATTAAAAAAAAATTTGTTCATTGTTTAGTACACAAGTTCCAAATTTAAATTACCAAAAACAATTATAACTTTTTTTTTGAGTTGGTAAGTTTAAAATACCCACCTTGTAAGTATACACATTGAAATAAATTTTGTCTTTAAAACTCAAGCATATTAATTTAACACCAAAGCCAAATAACTTCTACAATTTATAATATGTATTAATTTGTCAATGTATTATAATTTTAAGCAATATAAAATTCTTTATCATTTTTTTTTTGCAATTAAAGTTTATAAATCTCATCTGATTCGTACAGGCTTTTCCACCGCTTCCAAAACCTGGCTGCCCGTCCACCCCAACTACCTCGAACTGAATTTGGAGGCCCAGAAGGCAGCCCAAAAGAGCCATTATCAGGTTTACAAGGACCTGATTGAGCTGCGAAGGTCGGCCATAATGCGCCTGGGCAGATTCACTATCGAACCGATTTCGCGATGGGTCTTCGCCTTCAAGCGGTGGGTGCTTAAAGGAAACCCTTTAGACACATTGATTAGTTTCAAAGTAATTTTGCAGCTCGTATCCCAATTTCGAGTCGATAATTACCGTCATTAATGTGAGCGACAAGGAACAGTTGGTGAATCTCACGGAGTTCATAAACCAACCTAAGAAACTGGTTGTTGAAGTTTCCGGAGTGAATTCCAATTATCAACCTGGGTAAGTTCGCCCCTTCGATTTACTGTCATCCATTCCCCGCTTTACACCGAAAACATTTTTGTTTCCTCTCTTTTAAAACATATCCTAAACTTATGATTTTAAATCAATTGAAAACCAATTTTGCTCAAAATTAAAAGTAGCAATACTAAGAAAAACTTAAAAATAATTTCCTTTTGGCCTTCTAAATATTTCTAAAATATTTTAGCAAAATTTAAATTTTCAAATTACAAAAATTATGAAATAAATTCATTTTTCTTGAAATCTAATCAAAGCAATAAAAAGAATAATAATGATATCAGTTTTTAATTAGTAGAATGTAATACTAATTTTAATTTATTTTTTATTAAAGTCAGAAGTTAGTTTACCTTTTAACCTTTTAATGAAAATTTCTCCAGTCAATTTAAATATTTATAAGAATAGCATCGATTCGGTATAATCTATAATCTATAAAAGAACTACTTTCCCGTATAACCCACATTCACTCCAATTTCTTTCTGTACTCCCGCTGCAGTGAATCCCTGGCCGCAAGTGCACTGTCCCTGGCCGCCAGAGAGGGTCTCGTCTGTCGGCTCGTCTAGTCGGATCGGGATTAGAGGAATTACCAGCTGATGGCGGCAAACTTTGCTCTTTAATTGCATTTCCAGTTCAAAATGTCACGCGATTGAATACAAAATGGGGGAAAATTAATGACCGTGGAGCGGACAGCTGTTTGTGTGTGTGTTTTTTTTTCGTTCGACTCGAATAGATTGAATTTAACGCTGGCCGGCGCTAATGAAGGCAAGGGGGGGTGTGGGGGTCAGAGGTCGGAAACAGCTCCTGACCGGCAAAAAAAAAAGTGGCCACATCGTCGCCTGCTCCTGGCAAGTTGCCCAGAACTTGGCCGCTTCTGATGTTTGTGTTTCATTCTCGCTCGGCCACAGTAATTTTTCATGTATGGAAAGAGAAAACACCCACGAACTTAAAAAAGATTTATGGAGCTGGCGTAGATTTCCAGCTCCCCATTTCGGAAATGCCCCCAAGCCGGGAATATAAAATATCACATGGAAAAGTTTTTAAATGTCCCTTAATAACTGAATTAAATGTTTGCGAACGGCAACTATGGCAAACTTGTTGGAAACTTTTGATTGCTCGATGCTTACACAAACATTTTGCCAACAAATGGCTCTTGTTTGGATTAGAAGTTGTAAGTTCGTAATTGTCGGAAAAGTGAGGCAAATTTTGTGAAAATCTATGAAATTTAAATGTAATTTTTAGCAAGTTTTTAGTTGATCAACCTTTATAATTCATTAGTTTCTAGTAGCCAGAGAAATAGAATATTAAAGCAATTAAGAAATAAAGCTGTGTAGCCAGCAGCTACGTTTTATTAAATCTTGTATTCTTTATTACTTAGAATGAATTATAACACGAGATATTTAAAAATTTCTAAGGCGGATTAAATGTCAAAAGCCTAAGTGATTATTGCAGTCTTTGTTAAATTTACCAACATTTACTGAGAACTAAAAAGATTAAAACGATAAGTATACATACTTTCAAGAGAACACAAGTAAATTAAAAATTTCTCAGGGCTTAACTGATTCACACAAGTTTTAACATTTCATTGCCATTACGCCACGTTGAACAGAGGCTCTCAACGGATTAAGAGTATATATATATATTGCTTTCTATATGCCCCGCTGCGTTTCATTTCGCTCTCGTTTTCACCCTGCCTGCTCCGGAATCGAGTGAGGTATTTAATATAAACTATTTGAATAATTCAGAGACAGCATTCTGGCCGAGGTCCTTGGGCTTAATCTGCCCCCGGGAGGCGGAATTGTTTTAAGAGAGCGCAGCTCAGCGGTAATGAGGTGAGCAAAAACAACTTTTTGTTTTATAATGAAAAAGTTATTATTATATTCATCCCAATTTTAGCGAACAGCGGAGAGCTTTGGTTAAGCAGCTCGTAAAGTCCGCGAATGTGATTTTGGTGGCACTGCTGGTCTACAACTTGTGGCGCCACAAATGGACCAAAGTGAATTTCAATCAGTATCGGTTTTGATTGATTTTCGTCATTCCGCGGGCTTTTACCATGTATGTATGTGTGTGCGTGCTGATTGATTGATTGATTGATTAATTAATTAATGAAACGAACATCAGCTTAAATGTCATTAACAGTTGGCCGGGACTAACGACTCTTGAATGTGGCCGATGGGATTTGCAAATTTAATTTCCTCTACCAGTGGATCTGTCAAGTGGCTGGTGATAGATGGTTATTTTCTGGGGAAGGACTATGGTGGGGAATTGATTTCAGATCAAGCTTGCATTGTGATTGTTTAAAAATGATTTATTTATAAGGATTAATGTGAGTAACGAGAACACAATAAAAATTTAAATTGTTTTGCAAGTTTTAACGATTATTTATTGTTCAGATGTATTTTTTTTTTTTTTGATCTGGACTACAATTTTGCCACTCAAATAAAGATAATTTTTTTCTATTTAAATGGCAAGTAACTTATTTGATAAATGTAGTTTTAAGAAATGTAAGCCCGATTTAAAGAGTTGCTTAAAAGCAAAACTGCTGCATTTATCCCCCAGAACCTCTTTTTTCTTCACTGGTTTTTGCCTATCCTTCTGACCTATTAAATTTCTGAGATTTCCCTCGTTTCCAATGTTTGTGAAACCACTTATCTTCATGCTAAGCGCTTGACACTCTACGACAGCAAGAGGCAAATAAATGTAAGTGTTATCCTCTGACTGAAACTGCATCCTTCTATATCGCTTTACAAATCTGCAGAAGGGGTTTTTTGTCTCCATCTGCACTTGAACAGCAGAAAAGTTGATAAATTATCCCTGCCTGAGAGAATTTGAAGGGAGTGAGTTCAGCGTAAATGAAAAAGTGGCAACAATCGTTCCCATTCAATTTGTTGCCGCTTCCGAATAGTTTCGCGTTTTTCAAGGACTTCATCGTTTGGCAGCCATTGCTACAAATTTCACGCGTTGATGCCTCCAAAAAGGAGGCAACCACCGGAGCAAACTAGATTTGCCAATGGCAGAAGCCTTGGCAAGAGAAACATCAGTACCAGGAACAGGATATGCCAATGAAATTACAGCAAAGTGCCTGCAAATTAACCAGAGCAGAAAGCTGCCAAGGACGACAAGGACCTCTATGGGTGAACGATTGACTACGGAATTTGGTTTAACTAGAAAATGTGTTCTGGTTTCCATTATGTGTAAATACGGTTAAAATAGCTATTCAGATGTTTCTCTTAGGAATCAAATATTTAAGGATTTTAATTTATGTTTAAAGCTTTCCTGAACAACTTGTAGAACTTTGGGACTTAAATTTCAATCAAAGGGAAGCAAGTTGATACCGCTAAAAAGTTATCTAGCGACTGTAATTTGCAGCATGCTGAGTAGTACTTAAAAAGTTTATATTACATTTAAGTTTACTTAGTGAAACATTTGGGCCAAACAAACTTCAGAGCGTCCAACTGGAAAGAGCTCCGAAAAATCAGAGCAAAATTGAGTTGCAAATTATGGCAAGAACACCTCGTCGAACTGCCAGGACAACGACGTCGCACTGTCTGGCTTTTGTTCTCTGACATTTGACGAGAAGGCAAACAAGGAGGACAAACACAGCCAGGACGTAGAGTGTGTGTGTTTAAGCCTTTGTGCTAGTTAGCCAAATTGTAGCAAACATGTTGGAAAGGCCCGAAAAGGAGGCGGTGCACCTTGATGCCGAAAGTGGCATCCTTTCCGCTTTCCGATTTTCCCCAGCCTTTCGGCGCGTGTGTTTCTGCTTTTGGCAGCAGCCATTTTGAACTCAGCCTTGTTTTATGTATTTTCCTTGTTTTTTTTTTTTTTTGCTTTTCTGGGGACTGCCGGCTATACACTCATTTTGCAGACAGTCGTTGGCGCCGCTTTTAACGGTTTTTAATTAAAAAAATTTCCAGAGCTCGGGCCATTGGTAATCATTTTCATTTTTATGTCTGCCTTTGTCTGTGAGCCTTCCGAAGGGTTTAACGAAAATTGATTTTAAGCCTTTTTTCGCTTTTATTATCATGGCTGTCGCTGACACTTGAAAGAAAAAGTTGGCCCGCAGAGACTAAGGCAAATTGATTGCCAATTGAGAGGCCATTGCCATAAAAGAAAACACAGGGGGCACAAAAAGGACAGAGCCGAGCTGCATATATTATCCTTTAAAGTATGCTTTGGCCAAGGCAGAGCCAAATTCAATGAGGACCCCCACATGACAATAAAACTTTATGTTCGTATGTGTGTTCTGCTGGCGCTTTGCCTTTGTCGCATTCCTTAGCATTCGGAGCATTTTTGAGCGTTTTCTGTTCGAGCGGAATTTATGCAAATTTGATTAAATTTCCTTGTCGCTTTTGGCCAGAAAGGCTGAAGTACGCAGCTCTGGCAGGTCAAGGCATCTTAGCTATGCGGTCCCTAATGAAACGCCTGAGAGTATGCCGCGGATTCTGGCAATTCACGATTGAAAGTTTTGGCTGTGGTTCCTTCCCTGAAGTTTTCAGAACTTCCTTGAGCAGGGCGATAATTTGGGTTAAATTATTACTAAGTGGTTTTCTTTTACAAGAAGTTTTTGCTTCTTTGTATTGCTATCATTATTACATAAGCATACCACAAAAGTCTCAAATTGCACAAACGAAAGGGGAAAGCATTTTGGAATATTTTGACTTTGTGTGATTTTTCTTACTATAAATAATTGTTGTTACTGAAGTATTTAAGTTTTGAAACTGTAAATTTAACCGAATTATAGTTTTTATTAGGAATTTTTGAAATAATAAACGGTTCTGCATAAATGGATCGAACATTTTTTAATCTTTTATTATTTTCTCTTTTTAAGTATTACAATTCCAGATGTCGGAGGGAAGCAGCAAATGGAATACAAGAATACCTTAAGGATCTTGCTGCTTGGTGTAAACGTTGGAATATGAGAATCAATCCGCAAAAAACTACGAACCCCTGCTTTACACTGAAGAGACTTGTATCTAACACCCCTGAAATCCAGCTAGAGGGAGTCAGTTTGGAACAGCCGTCGCAAGCAAAATATCTTGGTATCACACTGGATAAGCGCCTTACGTTCGGACCACATCTGAAAGCAACAGTCAAAAAATGTAACCAAAGGATTCAGCAACTGCGCTGGCTTACACACAGAAGGAGCACTTTGCCGCTGAGATGCAAGAGGGCAGTATATGCATTCTGTATCCTGCCAATCTGGCTTTATGGTATTCAAATTTGGGGGATCGCAGCCAAATCGAACTACAAAAGGTTACAAGTGTTGCAGAATCGGTTTCTACGTACCATTACTGACTGTCCCTGGTATGTGCGTGGCACGACACTTCACAGAGACCTAAATCTACACACTGTGGAAGAACAGATTGGGAGACACACAAGCCGATACCGAGATAGATTAGGAAGACACCGCAGCTTACTGGCTAGGAATCTACTCCCAGCGAGACCTTTGAGGCGTCTCAAAAGGCAAGGCTTTGCCAAGACGATAAGGAATCAATAAGAAAATACTAGGGGAGATGTGGGGGTTGTGGGCATAGTTTTGTTTTTGGCTTATAATTACCGAACTAGTGCATATTATTTGGACATATGGGTATCTGTGTAAAGCTAGAGACCTAAGCTAACTTGTTATGAAGAAACATACTTGACTTTGTCATGCAAAAAAATTTCATATGGACTTTTGTAAAATCGTAATTTTTAGCTAAATTTTTTTTTTTGGGGGGTTGTGGGCACCCTGGGAAAAATGCTGCAAATGGAATAATATGGAAAAAAAACCGCAACCAATATCAACAAAATGACAATTTATTTATTTCACGATTATTCTGAAAGCCGAAATATAAAGAATAAAGCGTGGAATTCTTAGTGATAATCTATATCTTACGAATATTCTGGAAGCCGAAAAATTAAGAATAAAGTGTGAAAATCTTAGTGATAATCCCTCTCAGCGGGAGAGGATCCTTTTCCAAGAGCCTAAGATTTCTACAAGAATGTTCTAGAGGGTTCCAAACAAATTTTGAAAACAATTTTACAAGAAATTGTAGGTAATAAAAAAATTTGCCAAAAAAAAACGGGTGCCCACAACCCACCCAATTTTGGTGCCCACAACCAACTTTCGCATGCATTTTAAGAAGCAATTAAAAAATGTGTTTGCATAAATTTTTTGGTTCAAATCGATATTGTTCCATTTAGTATATTGCTTTGACTAAATAAAAATGCATTACACTTACCTTTTTAATCGATTCACTTTAATTGATACACTTTTGAAAATCTTTGAATAAAGTTTCACCACCTTTTCCAAGCACAAGAAAAACCAATTCGTTAATTTCAAAAAGCAAACGCGTTCGTTTACTTTGATATTTGGCACAAATCATACATAGGGTAATTGCTTGCGAATGACATTACCAAAAAAATTCAATCTTCATTTTGTGAAGATATACGTAGGGGTGCCCACAACCGACCCATGCCCACAACCCCCACTTCTCCCCTATATATAATCCTCTTCTTAATGCTGAGGTTTGGTTTACTTTTCTCATTGGTGACACCTGTGTTGTTAAGTACTTTAATTTGCTGTACAGATTCTGCACTAAATAAATAATAAGAAAAAAAAAAAAAAAAAAAAAAATAAATGGTTCTGCTTTACTTTATGTAGTAATAAATGTGATACATATTTCTTACTCCTTTCTTATAAATTATCATTTTGGGATATAATTTAAAGGGGCCTTTTTCGACGCTTTCTTAATCGATCTTCATTAATTACTCCCTTTTGTGCTTCCTTTGTTCTTGTTAAATTTAATTACTTTAAGCTCATTTCCCAAAATTAGCCAGAGACCAAACGAAAGCCCGCTGAACCACAAACTAAATGAGCCACTTAACCCTTTTTCTTCACAAAAGCGAGGGTTTTTGGGATCGGAAAATTCCAAGTCAAAGGACTGGGACCATCTGCTGTCTGGCGGCACATCAATTAGACTTCTGGCCGTGGGTCGATGTTGTCGATGCGTTCAACTTGTCGGCCGAACGCTTGATCAGCCAAGCAGACGAGAACAGTGCAATCCCATCCTCGACACCACCCATCTGCCCCCTGTCAGCCACGCCCCCTTTTCCAGAGGGCGGAGCAAACAAATCGACGGCCATAACCAGTGGAGGGGCGAAAGACAAAACAGCCGCGACCAGGCCAACAACAAGTGTAATATGTCAATTGAAGGACACTTCCAGCCGAACACTCACCCAATCCGCCACACACAGACACACTCACACTCGCACACCCACTTCCACACTCACAAACACTCGGGTAAACTCTTGACTATTTATTGCAATGCTGTCTGCGCTGTCGCCGCAGGATATGCTACGGATATTTGCAAAATATTGCAGCGCCCATAAATTGAAACCCAAAAGGACAGGCGGCCGCCAAGCGACTTGGCTAAAAAGGCAACAAAAAAATATAGAAGGGGGGAGGGCGGAAGGGGGTCGCCAAATCGGGGGGCGTGGCTTCTGGGACTGGGGTTCAAATTCGACGTGGCCTGGCTTTGTCTCAAAATCGCCGCACGATTTGTGGCCGCTACGTGACCGGGCAAACGAGCCACCCTCCAGGACATGCCAGGACATTCGGCGGCTCAAAGGACTGTGCGCCACGGACCTGACCTTGGGCCAAAAGAATTGGCAAATACTATTCTGGGCCAATGTTTAATTTTTGTCTGCTGACTATTTTGGAGAAAAGGAAAATTGCTGCGATGGCTAAACGGCGTAAAAGATTTAAAGTACTAAAGGATTTATAAGAATTAAAGGAGTTAAAGATTTTGGGTTGGAAACGTGGTTGGGAAAACTTAGTCTGCTCGGACTTGAAATGTAAAAACGTATTATAAATTCATATATGCAAGCTCATCAGTTATTTAAATTTGCACTGAAAAGGGGGAGTTTTGTTGATTTTGAATCCAAGAAGTTCCTTTTTTTAAGTAAACCATGTTTTCCAACAGTCAGATTGACATTTTGTCCTACAGTTAGGAAATATATTCTGGAAAAAAATTTAAAAGAAACTGTTTTTTCCTTTTCACTGCATGTACGTTCTTAAAAGCGATATATTTTAACAAAAAATCTTTACATATATCTCAACTTTTCATTGCATTTGCCATAAAAACGATTATCTATCGTTAATAATTAAAACAACATTCTATGGCATGAACACAATTGTTCTTACAGCTTTAAAAACCAATTTAAAATTAAAACTGACATGAAAGTAATGCTTTTCACAGCAAACGAGAATGCTTTTCCGTTTTCCCAAGCCGGGGAAAGAAAATCCGAAATTGCATGCGTACTTTGCAGAATATCTGATGCACTCCATCGGCATCTGGCAAATTCGTTTCCTCCGAAATACAATTCATGAATTTTAATCTCGAATGGACACATGAGTGTGCCGCACACCCTCTTTTCGGACCGGTGCTCCCAGCCACTTTATTAGCCAAAACACAACTGACCGGCAGCCATGTAAACTTAGCCAAAAGGGCGCTGCGGGAAAGTGGGAAAACGGGAAAACGGAAAAGCATTGTACATGTGACCAGCAGAAGGCGGTTATCAAACTTGGCCAGAACGGCTGCCACTCAAACGGATCGAGGCCCGAACCCTGTTTACCTGGCAATAGACTTTTAAATTTCCCCACCGTGTGTACGCAACTGAGAACCTAAGCTGTGGTGATGCTGGCCAGGAAATCTGCGTGGCATATGCAGAGGGCATAAAAAGTTTCTCATAAATTTCTACCTCAACCCTGTTGGCTCCGGCCAACAAGAATCCTAAATGAATTGTTGCTGCCCGGATGGAGAGCACGGGGAGCAGGGGAGATAACTTTTATAATAGCCCAACTCGTTGGAAATTCAATTTCATTTTCAATTTAATGCTGCAACGAGCCACGAACGTACCTGCTCTGCAGAGAATTACCCTCAATATGCTGCTTTTTGTGGAGCCCTTTTTGTTGCCATTTGAATTGACTTACCTGCAATGAAATGATAGAAAAATACGTTACTCACCCGCACATACTCGTATTATTTTATGAGGTTCAGCAAGAAAAATGAGCAGCACGAAATTAAAACTAGAGCCGGAGACTTCTTATACTTTTGTTCTCCTCATTGTTCACGGAGTTCAGTGGAGGCCAGCTGGGAACAAAGGCCAGCTTCAAGGTGACTCCTGCTGTACCTTGGTTTGCAGCTCACAAATATGGGTTTCAACAAAATAAATATTTTATCTATTCTACTCTGTTAATTCCGAAATGTATGGAAAGTATTTTGTTTCAAGGAATAATGGTTTCAGGTGTTATTTTCTAATAATTTTTTGAATTAATGACTGGTATAAGATACAATTTAATACAAACAAAACTTTTTACGCAAACAATCAAGTCGATTCATACGTTAAAAAATAAATTAAATTATTTTGTGAAGAATTATTGTTTATGCACATTAAAATACCAATATTATTTATATCATTTAAATAATTACAAGTTTAAGTTTTATATTTATTTGTACTTTTTTTTATAGAAAAAACAATTTTGCCAACATTATTTTCTTGACTTCTTCAACACTCTTATTAAATTATTAGCAAGAAAAAGTTATTGCCTTTGAATTTGAAATATTTTAAAAACAATTTTCAAGTGGTAAGCTTACAAAAATGTTTATTGGTAAAGTATGAACTTTTCTTTGACAAGAGTAATACGGTGCAAACGATTTCCTTAACTTTTCCTGATTGTTTTGCACCCCAGCCACCAACAGTTTTCCCCTACACTTCCTGCGTCTGATTCTCCCTTTGTTCGACCCCTCATTGTACTCGACACCAGAGGAGCTTTAAGTTGCTTAGAGTCCGAGTGGCAGCCACTTACCTATGACGTAGGAGTACCCGTCCAGCGTGAGGACGCACTTCCTGGTGGTGGTGCCCACCAGTCCGCCCAAGACACTGACGCCGATGCCGCCGGCGCCGCCGGACGGGTACCTGGAGCTGTTCATCCTGCCGCCCGCCTTGCCGAGACTGGAGGACATGGTCCCCGGACTGCCGGCCTCGCAACTATTCAGACTCTCGCGCCGCGGCTGGGGATCCAGCCCCACGAACTCATCCCGCCGTTCGCCACTGGAGACCAGGCCGTCGCTGGAGTGATCGCGCTTCTGATCGCGGTCCACGTGGCGCAACCGGGTGCGCGGTACTCGGGAAGCGGGAATCGGAATGGAGGAAGCGGGGGATGCAGCGGATGTGGAAAGGGGAGCGGTAGCGGTACCATCCCCCTCCTCCTGGCCAATGTTCAATGTTTGTGGTTTGTCGCGTCGCGTGGGCGGCGATTCGTCCAAAGTGTCGCCCATTATAAACGATTCAGATTCAGATTTCGATAGACACGCTCTTTATAAATCGGTGGAATTATTTATATCGCGAAATGCATTTTACGAAACCGTGGGAACAAATTTTGCCTTGTCGACGTACGCCAGTTGTATTTGTATTTGTATTTCAATTTGTTTAAGATTTTATATTCATTTTTCACAATTAAAACTCACTTTAAATCACTTTATCCTTCGTTATTGAATTTTATGCTGTCTTTCTGGGTGAAAATAAATCAATGGATGCAGTTGCACAAATGAAAATTGAATCGTGAAATAGTTAAAGTTAACTCAGGCAAAACAATGATTGGCAATGATATTGCGCATTCGCAGTGTTGTGCAACCAAAATAATTCAGTTAAAGAGGAAGTGCATTGTAGAATATAAATTGTAAGTTCACTTTAACAAAAAATGAAGCTTCTCTGAATTATTATAATTTCTCTGCATATTTTTGGACATTTGTAACAAAAACAGAATCAGCTTTCGTTTTTAAAATTTTTATCTCACAATAATGAATATTTTGATGACACTTTTTCTTGTTCGGTTGGCATATTGTGTTTTATGCGATTTTACTGTGCAAAAAATGTGGGGGTGAATTTCAGTAAATACTTTCGCGTTTTTATAGTGTACCCAGTCCTGGCTCTAATTGCAGTTTTTTCCCGCTTCTGTCAATTATTTGGCTCGCTCGTCTGCTGCCTGTCGCTTCTGTATGGAACACAAGCCCTCTCCACTCATTTTGACTGACATTGTTTGGCGTTATTTGATTCGGATTTTATCGCCTTTCGTGTGGCTCTTCGGTTGGTCAGTTTGTCATTGGATTTTTTTTGCATATTTGTCATAATGCCAGTCCATTTATCAAAAATCCATCAATGCCAAATGGCTTTCCGTTTTTTGTGCGCTCCTTTATTGTTATTGTTTATGTTTCGTGGAGCGATTTGTTTTTAACACAACACGGATGTCGACGTTTCAAGTTTTGTTAAATCGTTTCGTAGCTTCGTGTGTGGCCCACCCAAATGTATCTAAATAAACATGTATTTGTTCAGATTTTAAATATATCTATACTTCAGCAAGTCGTTGGCTGGTCACGTTCGACAAATAAAGCTGAATGGCGACACTTTTAAGGTGGCTCGTACCCCGAGGAAACGCAGGAGAAATTTCTTTTTGGCACGTGGCCTAAACGTTTCACTCGAGTTGACTTGGCTAAAAAGGCGGCTGCGATACGTGCTGCCTTTTGGGAGTGATACAGGACTATCCTTCTTCTTTTAGGTGAAGAAGGATTATTGGTTCGATGGGAAAGGGGCTTTGTATCATCATTAGCCAGCTAATTAAAACGTTAACAAATGGGGCTACTGGGAGCACTTGTTTAATGAAAGCCTGCGTAAAATATTTTAAGACTTCAGCTAGATGAGCTCTGAGTCTGCTTTGAATTATTAGTTATTTTCATTTATGACGGAATATTCCGTCTGGCGGTAATTAAAGTAAAGCTTGTCTAACGATAACTTAAACCAACAAATAACTTTCATCGTAAAGCTTTGTGTGGCTAACATACATTATTAATGCGGTATGCTAGAAATAATTAATATTTTTGGGGTAATCTAAGCAGTAAGCTCACAACAGTATCAAGAGCAAATTTTGTGCTCTAACCTATACACTTTAATCAACAAACAAAACCGAATTGTTTTCGCTTCGAGACTGCTCTCCCTTATTAAACTCTGACCCCGGCAAGGTAAACAGATGAATTCCGAATGATAATCATAAAATTTTAATTAAGCTTTTATGTACATATATATAAAATTCTTTTTGCTGTTGTTTGAGTACGCCCGCATTGGGCGAAAACCCAATTGCCTGCCGCTTTGTCCTTTTGTGGTTGAGGTTATTGTTGCTGCTGCCACAGCTGCCTTTGGGTTGCCCACTCAATTGAGTGGTGCAAAATCGAGAGGCAAGTGTCAGGAGCAGCTGACAGGACTTGCGTAAGCTGGCAGAAGCACTTGCGGCTTTAAGTTTCCTTTCCTTTCCCGGCTCTTTAAGGAACGGCAATATTGCGCATACGCCGCGTTTATCAGTGTGCCTAATGAGGTATCAATAACACCGCATTTACGACTCAATTAACGAAAGATGTTTGGCTGAAATCAATGCCGGAGCTCCGAGGAGCACACAAAAGATATTATGACCGGGTGGTGGAACATTTTGCGTTGCAATTTTCGTTCGGGGCATCATAAATCGCGAAATCCTTCTTATCTTTTGCGGTCAAAGGGGGTGGATAACCCCTGGAATAAAGAGATTCCAAGTTCAGGGAACTCCTTCGATCGAATAAATTTTAAATTTATTCGACGAGTGTCCCGGCAATTTATCTAGCTCCGCCCACATTTGTTATTGGTCTTCGGGAGCAAAGTTTAGCGACCCGCATTACTAATGCTGTTTATTATAGTTTTCGTCCGTTTATCTGGGAATCTACTTATATGTTCCTCTGTTCAAGTCGAAAAGTTTCAATGAACTCGTGCGTCTATCGGTCGTTCTGGCCAGCATCGTAAACATGTCTATCTGAATGGCTCCATCCACACATCTAGCTCAAATGCCTTTTGTCCCACTGATCTGACAGATGAAAGATGAAAGCCAGGCAAATGAACACGCAGAGATAGTCGGAGCAAAGTCAATTATTTAATTAAAAGCTGTCACTTGCCGGAGCTCAATGTAGCTGTTAATGTGGGCGTTGAAGCCAGGCCAAAACTGGGCGTGGCTCCCCACACGATTGGGTTTGGTTTGAGGGGGAAAACATTGCAAATAACAGGAGAACAATAAAAGTGAAGCGACATCGCCATCTCATGGCAATAATTAAAAGCGCATACACAATTCAGTCGGAAAAGCGAAGAGGAAAATGCCGCATAGGAAGTCGTACACAAACACAAAACAGGCTGACAAAAACAATTGTGTTAGATTTAGGGCCGAGATCACAGATAAATAATGGCATGCACTTTTCGAGGCAGCCAATTAAAATGGGTATTTTCACAAAGTTTTCATTTGCTGAGTGGAATTCGTTGGAGTGCAAAAGGCATGTTTGTTATTAGAATTGAACAATAAATTGTGGATTAAAGTTAGCTTGTTTAAATAGAGACTTAAATACTTTGAGTGAATATCTGTTTTCGTTTTATTCAGTTTGAATGATTTAAATTTAGTGTTATTTGTATATAATAGTATAGTGTTAGAGCTACATAAAAAGAGGTATTTTTTTACGATATAGTAGGAATATGAACTAAAAAAATCTTCAGGAAATGTAATAACCTTTTGGAATGTGGACTAGTTTCGCGTACTTTCGATCAGTGTATATTAAATAGAGCTGCATTGTCGCCCCAGCCATTTGCACATACAAACTGGGCTATATACTTGGGCCTGCGCTACGCTATCCCCCCGTTTTAATTGTTGTAATTCCGAGTTGTTGCTGCCTCTTGACACGACCCCTTCATGTTGTTGGTCGGTGTAATTTGCCCGATGTTAAAGGGGCGCCACTGCGTCGCCGTTGCTGGTTTGTCTCGGCTCTGGCGTAAATAAAAGATGAGTTAAAGAGCGATAGTTTGGGGCCGGGAATGTTGCGCAGGACAACGAACAGCAGGCCTCAAGTGGAGGACTTGGGATGTCGAGACGAAGGACTCCGTTAATCACACACCACATTCTGCTGCGGATCGATGCGGGATGCAATAAAAAAGCAGAAGGAATTGCATGTAATTGAAGGGGAGCTGGAAAAACAAACTGAGCGTCAGGAAGTGTGCTATAAATTTTCCAACTGCCCAACGGAGTGACACTTCGAGGAAGGTCGAAAGAAAAGCCAGAGGAAACCGAGAAAGAGAGAGAGTCGGAGTGAGAATTCCTTGCCTTGGCTCATTAGCATTTTGGGGCAGAGGAGAAGGGAGAGGGGAAACCTCAATGCCACATGAGGCCAAATGTGAAAAAAGAAGCCAGACAGGCCGACTTGACTTTGTCCACCTCGTCGTCATCATCATTGGCTTCGGGAACCACATTATCGTCGGCATTTACATTGCAAATGGTTTCTGTTTTTTGTTATTTACACACACACATAAACATACAGGACTCCCAGCTGTGGGTTAAATGCAGTTCCTGCCACAAAGACCCATTTACATAGAAGGACAAGAGTCAGAGACGAAACGGCAAACAAATGAGAAAAGTCGCATTATTAATTTGCCGCACCGCACGACCATAAATAAGGATGTCTGTCTTCGGATTCCCCCTTTCCCTCTCCGATTTCCCTTCGCCACGCGCTTTTTGCACATACATAAAATTCAAAGGACCTCCTCGGCATCCTTGTCCATATGTTTCGCTTTTGCCGCACGGCTTTTCTCCCCGGCTCCACGCAATTTTCTCCAGCAATTTATTACTATTTTGACTTGTAGATGTGCCGCCTTCTATCTGTATCTGTGTGGCTCTTCCTATCTGCGGCCTGAGTTCTTTCCCTTCTATTTTCTTCTTCTTCGGTTTTCCTGCCCTGCGACAATTTGTAAAGCAGGCAATTATCCTTATTAGCCGCTTATTTATAGCCATGTTTGTTTACTCGTTTTCCCATAGACGCATAAACAATGCGAAAACGATAATGGGGAAGTTGGCGTTTCCCAGGCTTGGCATAATTGCCACAGATTGGCAATCAACCATGCGCAACTCTGTGCAACAGTTGGCCTTCGGTCATTTTGGGGGAAACTAAGGACTCTAGGTAGCAAATTGAATAGGGAATCATTATTAAACTTTCATGAGCGCTGGGATTGATTATGGTGAGTAGGAAAGCTACCATAAGTAATGGACTATTCTGACTAAGAGATGGGTAAGTGTATCTATAAATAAGTTACATATCGATGGAACAGGTTATTAATGATCCAAGAGAATATTGTTTTCAAAACAATATGGTATTATAAATATTATATCTACATACATATATCTCTATAGAATATATTTTTTTAAATGCGATTTCTTTATCAAACATTTGTCGACATTTGAAGTTGTCGATATCGGTATTTTTACCTCGCTGAACAATTCGATTTGTAAAAAATGAAGAGTAATGGACTTTGCTTTGGATGTTTTATGGGAGGGTGAATAATATGGCAAGCTACAACAGGGACTTGATTTCATTGCTAATGAGGAAATATTAAATATTTAACGGGGCACAGGAAACATTTTTCCAACCCTTTAAAGTGACTTTCAAGGTTTTATTCTCACCCTCTCGCCTGCTCACAGCTCCGAGTCATTTTAAATTACTGCATAATGAGTTGAGCCACCTTTCGTGGCGGAATGAGAAGAACTGGGGCGCTGAAAGCTTTTCGGGAGTCTTTCGGAGCATAAAGAACATTGTCAAATCAGCGACATTTTTATTGCCGCCCAGGCCCCAATTCCCGCCCCCTGGACACACCACACACACACACCATAACACACATGTAAATGTATATGAATGTATGAGTGTGCGAGTGGGAGTGTGAGTCCGTTATGCCTGCGCTCGCTTACATGCTGATGATGTCGTTATTAAACGCATAAATAAATTGTCAAAAAATATGTGCGCCAAAAAAGACGTAAGGAAGTGCCGGAGCAGAAAAGGACGAAGGGTGGTAAGGGGGAAAGGAGGGGGAGGGGTATTCAAACCCTGAGAGGAGTAACTTTCGGATGCGTTTATTGTGCTTACATTTTAGCTTTGCTTTATGTACTTGCCAGGGCGACAAATAGAAATGTTTCATGGGCGCGTGGGACCTCCAACGCAAAACTTATTTCTTGAGGCTTCCCTCCGGTCTTCTTTTCGTACATTTCCTCTTCTCTGATACTTTTTCACGCTGTTGACTTTGTCAATGCTTTACGGTCTTATTCCTGTTCAGCTGCAGACAATTGTCAATTAAATGGAAGGCCGAGGGGAGCTGCCCCTGGGGCAGGGCAACCTACTCTGCTGAACAAAACCACAAAGGAACCTCGCAACGCACTGCACAAAAGTTCAGCCGGGTGGCAATGTGCCTCGTATTTATTATTTATGACATACGCAGTGCAGAAAGGACGGATAAGGACCCTTCGAGGAGCAGTTCGTGGAAGGATTGCCGCTCTCCGGAGGGAAAAGCTTTACTTGCTGGCGGAGGTGCAATAAATCTCCTGCCTTTGAGCCAAGTTAAAAAGTGTTGAGCTCGGCATTAAGCACTTAAGGCTTATGAAAGTTTACGGAAGTCTTCGAGTAATAGGCGATGCATTTATTTCGCAGGTTATCAACAAAGTTGTTCAATATATTATATTTTGTATAAATAATTTATTATATTAAGTTACCATTACCAACAAATAACTGATGGCAAAATACACAATTAAAAGATTTAGTCTAATAAGTAGGGTAAGATGGGGTAAAACCGCCGGTGGGTAAAACCGCCATTTGGATTTCAAATTCAAATGAAGCGCCGAAACGATTAACCGTTGATAATGTAGATTCTG